TGAAGTACAAACTTTTTTAATACCATCATGGAGATTGTTGAAGATTCTTAGGATAAAAATGTGGAATTTTTACAAATTTTCACATGATGGTATCTTTTCGCGCAATTTATTTTAATTTGGCAAGCATTCTAATATTCAGATAATCTCTACTGTCAAGAAAAGGAGCTGATAGGCTGTATCTTTCATGGGCGAGTCCAGAATCAGAAAAGATGACAAATCAATTGGTTTATTTGCGTAATAGGCATGAACAATTTATTAAAAAATATAACAGTTTTATGGCTAATATCCAAAGATAAATTTGTATGACTCAATCATGATCATAACCTAACGATATTTTGAACAAGATTTCCTCTTGAGTAAACACTCATGGTTGTCATGGAGACTCCTTAAAATTTGAACGAATGGCTTTCTCACATCATCTACACAATCTAGAGTTTTCATGACATAATTTGGAATTCATTCCTCGTAGTTCATTCTCTTCTCTGCGAGCAGGTTTTCGTCATAGAATGTATTACAAGACAGTTACAATTTCATAGTTGTAATAACCGAACTATTAACAACTTAATCGAAAAATCTTATGACTAACATCTGTCAAATGATATTATGTCTTATTATTATAGTTTCGAATTGTTAGTTTCTTTCAAAAATATGAATCTACAAATCTGAAATCTTTTCATAATTCAGAGTTTCGTAGCTAGACTGTTGACTTTAATCCCTGTCAATCATGGATTTTTTACATCATCATAGAATATACTCGATAGTTGTACTACAACGTTTTACTTCCAGGCAATCAATTATAAGACCGGGTTGAGTCCCCAGGAAAAATCTCCCTGGAGGAAAATATCATAAATGTCTATTATGACAATAAATTTTGAAATGGAAAGTAGAGTGGAAAAGAGTGGAATCAGCAAGGAATAAAGTAAACAAGCATGTAGTTCGTACTCGTAATTGTATAGAAATGCAAGAACATTTAACACATTTTAGGGAAAAAACAATGAAATATGTATCACTGAAGAAATCATTTACTAGGAATGTGACTAGAATTGTTATCTACTAAATTATAATAAAAATGTAAGTATCGGTGATTTGTTGGATTGTGGGTAATTAAAAAGGAGTGGTTTGGATCAGATAAGCCGTAACTTATCACGTTTTAGTCAGCTATGCCTAATAAGCACTATTATTCCATTCAGATGAAAATGAAAAAATACAATGGGTACTTCACAAATCAGTCAAAACCTTCCAAAAAGCCATGAAATATTTGAAAATAAATCTGGATGAATTAAGAAAATAAGAAGTGCATACCACTCTTTTTTAATTACCCACGATCCAACAAATTCATTACCAACGCAGCTAAGATGCTGACATCGATATGATCTCATAATCTGGCAAATTATTTAAGATCATAGATTGAAAGGGATCTACCCTGATATCTTCAAGTATGCTATACTCTGACTATGACTGATCAATAGTTGCTATAAATACTCTGCAACATTTTTCTGTCAGCTACCTGAATGGCCATTTTAATTTGGCAAATTTGGCGGATTGATAAAACTGTCAAATTAAGTCTCCGTCAATTTTTGAAAATGAAATTCCAAGGTATTGTCCGGTGCCTTTTCCATGTGTTACCGTGCATGATAATAATTTGGTGAAATTCTTGACTGAAACATGGATAAAATGTCAATTTTTAACTATTTCCGAAGATCTACAGATCTTTATATTACAAACAGATACTCGGAGAGATAAAATTGCATTATCAGTGGCGAGCTGTGAAGTGAGTAATACGATTGATGATGGTCAATCCGCCAAATTATATAGCAGCCAAAATTTCTAAATTTGCCGAATCCACCAAATTAAGTAGCGCCAAATTAAAGCAATTCACAGTATCCGCAAATCAAATAAATCATCTTAATGATGTTTTCCATGGAAATTTTTAGAGTAATGTTTATTTGTAAAGAAGATCAAAGACATCCGTAATGTGAAGAGTGAGAAGATGCCATTCACTTTTCCAAAGGGTAATACACACATGGAAGGTTTAAATGACAGATTCAAATTTCCCATCAAACATTTTTGAGCGTATGATCCCCAAGATCTTATGAACAGGGCCATGCTAAATCCTGATTATACCTACCTTCGTCAATGTGTCCAATATTTCATCCTTTTGACGGGGTTCAAACATATCTCCCAAACGAACATTTTGGATATTCAAATGTCTATAGAGTGAATTTTAGTAAATCACACACATCGCACAAAATACATTTACTTTACGTGGAACAAATTACAATATGTCAAGGTTAAAGTAATTCAGTTACTCTGAGGAAAATGAAATGCGAGTGATACGATTTAACACTTTTGGATGGGTAAAAATGGATGATTTGCATGGCACTATGTTTAATTGAACAATTGATGGTAAAATGATCAAACTTCGAAAGGAATTAGTTGCTATGATCTCATAGTGAATTTCAGTGTCAGGTCTTATATGGCATTAGATTTACTCTTACATTAAATGTCATGTCTTAAAAGCTGTTTTATCCTTAAGCGTTAGGTCTAATAGGAGATTTTCCCGTAAATAAAGCATTGGGTCTTAGAGGTGATCTTCCCTCACATTAAGCATTATATTGTAATTAGCTGATATACCCTTAAATGAAGTTACAGGTATAGTAACTAATTTACCCTTACAAAAATTAATAGGTCAATATTACCGAGCTACCTTTACACAATGACTCATGAAAAACATCAGGATTTTAGTTATTTTTTTATTCGATTTTTGCATGTAATCAATTACCCCAAGTTCCTTATATCCAAAATAACTGCATCTCTCATTGATTTAATATCATACATCTTTTTGAGGAATTTCAGATTAGGTTTTAATTGACGTAAATATTGCTTGCAATTTCGCCACTCCCTCTATTACAGTATCTTGCTTTTTAGGAAAAAGAACTTAATTCTTTCTCACAATAAGAAATCATGTAGGCCATTACAGGAAGTGAAGTCTATCTAGGTATGAAAGTCACAAAACATACAGTAAATGAACTCCACTACATAAAGTATAATACCTTGTGTAACATAAGGTATAAGAATCCCCAAAACATAAGGTATATAAACACCTTGCAGAACACAAGGTTCGTGAATTCGGAAATGTCACATTTTATAAGGTATAAAAAATCATCACATAAACAAAAATGAGATCTCTATACGAGAGTCTGGGATCCCTAATGGATACCCCACTCAATATTCTTCATGACAAAAATACCCAAAACGAAAATTACAAAACCATATCATTCTTCCACATTTGTCATTTCCTTGGGACAATATTTGAAGACTGATATTTGATATAATCCAATTATCAACTTAAAAGAAAGTGATGTACATAAACGATGCATCCCACTGTGCTATTTCCTATCTTTTCACCAACATGATTAATTGAGAAGCCTATTACAATGACCAAGATAAATCGGAAATCAGAAATTAGTCTCTCTGCACTGTCTAACGCACAGCCTTAAGGGCTGCGTCCAGTGCATTGTCTGGCTATTCAAATTGAGCTAATATGCCATAACCCTGAGGTAAAATTTCTAACCTCTGAATATGACAAATAAATGTTAAATTCTGTGACTGCATTTCTGTTCAATATGTGGATACCCTGATGCCTAAAGGATAGTAGTAACTATATCATGAAGTTTTTTTTATCAAAGAGTAATTTTAAAAAGGGTAATTCACTTATTTTAGCCTAATACCTACATGTAATTGGTCACTTTTCACTGAGACTGACTGACTGACCATTTTAGAAAGAAGTGAAACAAAAAAATGATGAAACTGGAAATGTAAGATTATACTGCAGTAAAAACTGCATATCTGAACACCTGTTTAATCCAAACACCTCTCAATTTGAACACTTCTCACATTCCATTAATTTAGAAATCTCCAGGCCAATAATGCTTCAGCGTAGGCCTTGAATTTATTTGTTGAAAAGTATAATGAAATAAATATAACATAAAGTTTAAAAAAAATTAGTAATCTCCCATTAACTCATATTAAACCTCTGAATGTAAACACTTATAAATCTGAACACTTTTGGCCAGTCCAAGTAGCATTTTACTAATACAGGTTTTGCCATAATGTTTTGGTTTTGGTATTAATTGTAATGCAATGCTATTAGCTGTAGAAATACAAAGTGATTTAGATAAAAAAAGTAATATGAGAATGATTAGACCACCCTGTTCCCTCCTCTTTATAAAGACTGATACCTGTTTCGATATTAAATACTGATATCCAAAACTAATAAATGAATCTTATTATCGGGAACAAACCCACAAAGTATTACCATATGCTTAATTGTTCATTACTCATCCACAAACGTTCACTTTGTGTGAAATGGTACACTCTACTATACCTAACCCCTAGGAATGCATAAGATACTCTGTTTGTCTAATTGTATTGTTTAGTATATTTTTGAAAGTATCTTATTAACATCTAATAGTCATCCGATAAACCATTAATAAGGAACAGACAATAAAAACAAATAACATAATCTTTACTAATAAGCCAAATGGGTTGCTTATGAACACCAAATGCAAGGTATAGTAGAGTGTACCGGTAACTGTCATGATATGTATTTTATTGAGTTTAGTTGCTTGTTACTTGATTAGGGATTTGGCATTGTTTTCTAAATGAGGCCACAGTAGTTGGTAATTAGGGTGGTAATTACTTGTTAGAGAGTAAAAGTAGATTATATGTAAAGGGTATATGAAGAGATGAGTGTTGATGTTGGTAGTGAAGGACTGCTACAGAAGTAGGCGATTCATGGATTTGAATTGAATTGAATTGAATTGCTCTGTTTGTATGTTACAAAGCATTTTGAGAAAAAATCCCCAAAACCCTTTTTACGAAGCTTTTGGTCAAAATGCTTTACAATAAACCAACTAAACCTGATGTGTAGCATTAACCAATTACAACTGATATTTAACCATGTCTATTTAACACCTATAGATTAAGCTACTTTTCTATTGTTCTGCTTTCAGTGGAGATAAACGAAGAGTTGAAGAACCTCCTCGATTGATGATGAGCTGCTTATTTTCCTACAAACTTGTGATTAATTGAGTTGACACTACAACGCAATCAAGTCAGGGTACAACATATTTAGCAATACCGCAACACAGGGCATCCCGTATTTCAGTCAACACATTTATTGGCCTCGGTCTAGTGGTAGTTATTTGCCTGGAATACAGCAATCACCAGATAAATATTATATCATAAGAGAATGATTATGTGAGCAGAAAAAGATTATGTGTTCAGAGAAAGATTATGTGATCAGTCAAAGATTATTTGAGCTTAGAAGGATTAAGTGAGCAAAAGAAAAATAACGAGCAATGAAAGGATGTTAAGACATGGATCACCTATATGTACAGAGCTTACTGACATTATATGAGTATATTTGAATTTAAAATGAAGGTCAAAAATAAAAAATTGAATTCAAACAACAAAACTAATTCTGGTAACCATAGTGGATACTATGGCAACTACATCAAGGACAATGTTGAATTCACAACTCCACTATCTAGCAATAGCACATATCCTAACAACAAACACAGTGAACAGAGTGACATCTATAATAAAAATGTCGAGCCAATTCAACATTCGGAACATATTCCAAAGCTCAGAAGGTACAACAGAACAAATATTGACAAATATAAAGACACAATATATGAACGTTACGACCCGATGGTTGGAGGTCGGACTGCCCTTATACTAGGGTCTCTCTTGGTATTTATAGTTTTATACATTCTTAAAAAACAATTTAAACATCATCGGAGAAAGAAAAAAGAAAGGATGGCTGAGTTTGTCCCGCCAGAGGATTATGGGCCTTACGAGACTTCCAGTGATTTCGATCAATGTTTAAAACTTCTTCCAGACCAAAATGGCTTATCTAAAAGTAGCGAAACATTGACAGGGACGAATAACTGGGACAGTAATCATTCAATAGATGGCTCTTTGTGTCAATGTATGAAAGATGTCGCTACTGCTCCACACAAATCCAGCGCTATGCAAACAAACATTCCAAAAATTACAATTTCAGACACTACTGAATTATGTACCAATAGAAAGCAGATTGGATTATACATCAATGGAAAGCAGTGTGATAAAAATAAACAATTCCATGCCAGTTTTCCATATCATATCAAACCTGACAAAACACGAAGGGCAATACTTGAAAAGTACACAATAGAATGTGATACCTCAAATTTCGCCAAAACTGCCAATTGGATTAATACTATCCCAGACCCAGTACACATTCAACCGAATCCTAAACACAAAACGAAAACTACAACAGATGACGCAAAACTCAATTCACGGAGCGGGAATTATTTGAATGTAGAGGTTAATAGAAAACGATCCAATAGTGTGCCTAGCACATCTTATACAAGCTCATCTATGTGGGACAAAACCCGTAATGTTGGGACGTGCCCTTTATGTGATCAAGCAAAACTAACAGGAAGTTCCCATCCATCAATATTATAACGACCCTGCTACTAATAACTATAGTACAGCTTTCCTAGCTTAAGATTTTATAGCTCACTTAGTTAAGAGCATCAGGCCTTGGATCTGAGGGACCTAGGTTTGATTCTCAAACAGGTCGTTGAATTAGGCACCCTTTCTTTCATGACCTTCAACTTTATTCAGTCATTCCCGGAGGCGCCTCCGGGTTATCAAATAGTGTCAGCTGTGGAAGTATAGTATCAACTCTTTTTAAAATATATGTGTCGAAAATTGCAAAAGAAGATGACATTTGGATTTCAACCAACATTTCATGTAGTGAGAGTGGGATCCCAGGAATAACTGAAATATGATTCTACAGATAGAAACGTAAAATGCACTTAATGAGTTGCTATGGAAACATAGTCCAAGTATAACTACATTTTTATCAATATGGTAGTAGAAAACCTGTAATGTGGAACACCTTTATAAGTGATATAATTCAAAATTACATGTTTTATTTTATGAAATACTGTATTCATAGAGCTCTGTACCACAGAGCTCTGTATCAAAAAGCTCTGTACCATAGTGCTCTGTATAAAAGAGCTCTGTACCAGAGAGTTCTGTACCATAGGGCTCTGTATCATAAAGCTCTGTACCAGAGAGCTCTTTATCATAGAGTTCTGTATCTCAGAAATCTGTATCATAAGCTCTGTACCAGAGAGCTCTTTATCATAGAGTTCTGTATCTCAGAGCTCTGTATCATATATCTCTGTATATCATGACACAGTCATTGTAGTGAATTTTCAATTTCTTTGATACAAAAAGTGCAGAATACGTATAGTTCTGACTTAAAAATTGGTGAATTTTGAAAACTTTCAACATTTTTTTTTTAAAAATGTTTAAATCAAGAGGTGCCAAATTCATATTTTGAACTTTGCCAATAAAATATTGCTCATTCAAAAATTACATATTAATGACAATTTGACAAGGGAATTGTAAACCATTTTTATTTTCTATTTAAAAAATATTTTAAGAAAAACAGCTATGCAATGTAAATGTAAAAAAATAAATATTATGTCAAAATCAATGTTTTCTTATAAACTGTAATTTTAGATAGTCCTAATAGAGAAATCACTTTATTTGTGATCTTCCCATATTAACATAGAGAGCATATAGATTTAGTAAATATTATTAAGCTGCATTTTGGGAAAAAGGTGCATGCCCCCTTCCCTTCCTTACAGTTTACATAAATGCCACTTACTAGACATATTACTTTTACATATTCTTTGTTTTCAAGAATGGAGCTTGGCATTAGTCTGTTGATGGTACAAATCCTGTAGCAGGGGGAGAGTTCAAGGATCCAAGCCCAAATATTCTTTCAAAGTCATGCTGTTTTTCACCATTCTGGATCACAATCCCTGGAATTTATTAAAAAGTCCCCCCCCAGCAAAAGCGAACTTCAGGCATGCAAATTGTTAAGCATTACTCAATATTTTTAAGACACACAGTCGGTTTTAATCATGTGATTGAAGTAACAGTACTCACTGTGTCCATTTGCTCTGGTGTTGCTAAGGAAAATGCTGCGCGTACATAGTTACATGGTACTGACTCGTCTGTTTGGAACGCAAAGCCTGGTACTAGCATCACCTAATAAAACAACATAAAAAACATAATATTCTCAGATGGAAATTGTTTAGGCGTTAATAGGTTGTTGCAAGGGAGAATACAGGATGTTCAACTAGGGAAAAAAAATATGATAGAATGAAATCAACATTTTCTATATTTTTTCATGAATGTTTTCATTTAACAGGATGACTTAAAAATACAGTTCTTGAAAAAAATTGCACGTCAAATATTTAGAATATTAGAATTTTAAGAAAATCTGTCCTATATAATCTCAAGAAAATCTGTCCTTCATAATCTTAAGAAAATCTAAATCTGAAGAACATTATCTAAAGAAAAATGTTGGTATATAATCTTTAGAAAATCTATGGTGACATAACCTTAAAAAAATCTGTGTTAAAGATGGTTGTACCTCTTTAGCAAGTGCCTTCTCTTCGATCAGCGTTTTGGTGTCCTTTATGCCGAGTAGCTTCAGCCATAGGAACATCCCAGCTACAGGCTCATGCCACTCAGCTAAACCTAAAACAGTACAGTGCACACATGACATGAAGAAGTATATTACATGAAAGATATACATGGGTCACTTTCAGATTGATATCAATGATCAGCGTTTTGGTGTCCTTTATGCCAAGCAGCTTCAGCCAAAGGAACATCCCAGCTACAGGCTCATCACTGGTGATCCGCTCAATTACGCTGGTTACCGAAACGGTTCGAGTTTTTTTTCTCAAAAACGTGTATCAGTATTCATATGTTTTAGAAAATGTACATGTTTGCGTAAAAAAAACTACTCGGAAGACAACAGAATCGTAGATTTAATTCCTCACTTAAGTTACATAAACAGTTTGAGTTTAAAGTGCAGATCTTAACTGTTTTTCAAAATATGCTAAAGCTGCAGCAGTACAATGACACCTGCATATCCCAACACTCATTTTTACCTTTTAAATGTTTATTGGCAGCTGCAATGAGGCAGTCTTTTTGTTCTTTGTAAAATGCAGTAACCCTGAAAGAAGAGAAAATGCATTGAAGTTCCACATCTGATTTTTATGCCTGTGTTTCATTAGCTGCAGAAAACAGGCGATCCCTACTCTTTTTTATTTATCATTTATTAGTTCACTGTGTTTAAAGGAAGTCTGAGTGATAGAATGACCAAATATTGCAGTTTAATTACTTTGTTTTCCACCCAATCTATTTTTTGATTCAACAATCAACACAAATATACATACCATATTTGAGCAGATATTGGGCAAATGAATAACATATTTTTTGATTGATAAAATCATTCGTTATAAAACTAGAAGTGTGTTCTCTGATGTCGGTGTATGAAGATTTCATATTTAGTATTCGGATTCGATTTTAAATGTTTCTAAATACTATGGTTTCTTCATCTGATTACAAAAATTGCCAGTTGGTCAGAGGAAATCTTCATTATAAAGTTTCAATAAAATGCTTACTTTTCAGTATGTTGTAGAAATCCTTCTATCTGCCATCTTTTGAGGAGCTCCAATACCATAATCTGAAACATAGTAGTATATATATATATATATATCTTTTTATTGACTCTTTAGATGTCATATCATGACATATTAGTCACTAAGGTAAAGCAGTTCTTCCCATTGTCGAGTTGAAGAACTGGTATCTTTATCCTGACTAGAACCATAGACAATTCTAGCCAGTGCCAGCCTTTTATCAAGTTAGCAGCACTCTAGTAATCGCCGGTATAGGTCAGCAGTCATAGGTCAAAGACAAGGCAGTTATGGTAGCCACTTGAGAATCATATTCACACTCATATAGCTAGAAATGCATTGCCACTTGTAAAAGTTGGCCATTTTATGCCCTTGCAAAATATACATCTACAGGGTGGTTCAAAAATTGTTCATATCCATGGATCCTGAATCTGTCGATGCGCATGCATGCTCAAGATGAAGACAATACTGTACAGTACTTATTTTCAAAGTGTGATAAAAAGTGAAATAGTTGACATACCTGTGAGAAACTGGAACAATGCAGTACTGAAGCCATCATGTGGAGCGAGAGCTTGTTTGTTAATACACTAGGACCAGATACCATGCCAAGTCTTAGCCTACGATTAAAGCAAATGTATGACAGTGGGAGGTTTCTAACATGTACATGTATTTCATTGAGGAGAATATGTATACAGTACTTGTGGATCTTTTTGATTTTAGATCTACAATTTAATATATATATAATTTATTTGGCGCCACTTTCAAAAAGGCCATATTTTCCATAAATTTTTTATACATTGCAGGGCTGGGTCAAAATGTTGATGTCTGTCAAAAAATGTAATTAATTTAGTTAGGTCTTGAACCCCCCTCCCCCCTTCTAACGAAAGTCAAAATGCTGATGAAATTTTAATGGGCGACACCATTGTGAAAATGCCAGGATGCATAACAATGAACGAAAAGTAAATGCAGAAATTGCAAAAGTCCTCCTCCCCCTAATGTATTTCATTCCGTTTTTAGACAGACATTGATGTTTTGACCCGGACCCTGAGTGTCAATAGAAAATTGAAACAAATATTTTTTCTAAATGATCTCAAAAAATTTGGCCGTACTGCTACAGTTGTATTGTAATAATCACAACAAAGAGAGTGCCTATGGTGAAAATTACCATTGAACATGTTAGCAACTTTTTTAAAGCTTGCTAGAGTCTGCACATCTCATTTCATTTTAATTAGTCAATCAGATGCTACATTATACCATATAAACTCACCCAGAGGAGAGAATTTTAGAGAAAGAGTCAAATCGCAACACTCGACCATCAACATCCATAGAGAGGAATGAAGGGGACTTTGTCTGAAATAGAGAGAGGAATGATGGGGACTTTGTCTGAAATAGAGAGAGGAATGAGGGGGGCTTTTTCTGAAATAGAGAGAGGAATGATGTAGACTTTGTCTGAAATAGAGAGGAATGATGTGGACTTTGTCTGAAATAGAGAGGAATGATGGGGACTTTGTCTGAAATAGAGAGAGGAATGATGGGGACTTTGTCTGAAATAGAGAGAGGAATGATGGGGAACTTTATCTGAAATAGAGAGAGGAATGATGGGGACTTTGTCTGAAATAGAGAGAGGAATGAAGGGGACTTTGTCTGAAATAGAGAGAGGAATGATGGGGACTTTGTCTGTAATAGAGAGAGGAGTGATGGGAACTTTGTCTTAAATAGAGAGGAATGAGGGGGACTTTGTCTGAAATTGAGAGAGGAATGATGGAGACTTTGTCTGAAATAGAGAGAGGAATAACGGGGACATTGTCTTTTGTCTGAAATAGAGAGGAATGATGGGGACTTTGTCTGAAATAGAGAGAGGAATGAGGGGGACTATGTCTGAAATAGTAAGAGAGTAATGGGGATTTTGTCCGAAATAGAGAGAGAAATGGTGGGGACTTGTCTGAAATAGAGAGAGGAATAATCGGGACTTTGTCTGATATAGAGAGAGGAATGAGGGGGACTTTGTCTGAAATAGAGAGAGGGATGATAGGGACTTTGAAATAGAGAGAGGCATGATGGGGACTTTGCCTAAAATAGAGAGAGGAATGAGGGGGACTATGTCTGAAATAGTAAGATAGTAATGGGGGGGATTTTGTCCGAAATAGAGAGAGAAATGGTGGGGACTTTGTCTGAAATAGAGAGAGGAATAATGGGGACTTTGTCTGATATAGAGAGAGGAATGAGGGGGACTTTGTCTGAAATAGAGAGAGGGATGATGGGGACTTTGAAATAGAGGGAGGAATGATGGGGACTTTGCCTAAAATAGAGAGAGGACTGAGGGGGACTTTGTCTGAAATAGAGAGAGAAATGATGGGGACTTTGTCTGAAATAGGGAGAGGAATGATGGGGACTTTGTCTAAAATAGAGAGAGGAATGAGGGGGACTTTATCTGAAATAGGGAGAGGAATTATGGGGACTTTATCTGAAATAGAGAGAGGAATGATGGGGACTTTTTTGAAATAGAAAGGGCTTTGTCTGTCTGAAATCTTTAATAGAGAGCTGGTTAAAGAGGGTGATGGGGACTTTGTTTAAAATAGAAAGGTATGATGGGAACCTGTTTAGAATCCGAGAGATCAATTAGCCATTAATTTTCAGAGGGTTTATTAGCAGGTCAGGTTAATCCACATAAGAGCCTTAAATTTTTACATACATGTATGTTTATGTCTCGAGTATATCAATATAAAATAGAAATGTAGATGACAAGATTATCTTGTACTTACCTTAGAAAACTGTAGGAAGTAGTAGGGGTCATCTTCCAATACTAAGAGGCCGTAATCTTGAGCAATCTAAAAATTCATTGAAAAAACCAATGCAATGAATATTTTGCTTCCTAGATATATAAATCTAAAGTGTTATTTCAAGAACGATATTTAGTCTAACAATGTGATTGCATTTACAAAACTGATTCATTTTAATATTTTTTCAACTGACTCTTTGAGTGTCATCTTTCAATGGAAGCAAAACTTTCCTATCTCTAGGCAAGGAATGCATTCAATCTAATCTCTTGAGAGTCTATGGTTAACCTCGTGAGTCCCAGGCTCTAAAATCCTTTGAAACCAGAGAATTTTTCATTTTTGCCACCTTTTGACACTTTACTACATACCTGTACAACTTTAGATGCTCAAATTAGTAAAAAAAATTAGACGGCACAGATCATTGGGCCAGATCATTTCTACACATTTTAAAACAATTTTTGTGAAAATTGGATGAAAATTGTTCAAATAAGAGCAATTTTAGTGAAAAATTTTGTGAAGGATTTTGTTTTCATTCTGGGATTCAAGGTAATTTCTGATGTGATTAGAAATCTTGTCACTCCAGGCCGTCAACAGGTTAAATGTAATAATATTCTGTAAGGGAGCGACATCTTTTATTTAACAAAAAACAATCTATGGTCACTGTTCCCCATCAAATATAATGGTGCTTTACAACTGCTTTAATGTAACAAAAATAATCAATGAAACCACATCAAAACTTCATAAAATACAAACAAACAAAAAACATACTTGATATATTTCCTGCTTTCGTTCAGTTGTTAAGGAAGCTCCAGTGGGATTTACTCCATTTGGTATTGTGTAGATAATTTTGGGGATATCAGAATTTTTGTCAAACTTTTCATCTGGGCTCCACCTGCTTAATATTTTACGTAAACTCTTTGGCTGCATGCCGTACTGGTCCGTGTTAACCCCTAATAGATTAACCCCTAAAGGCCTAAGCTGTAAAGAAATGGGTTTTTGTTAACTCGTACATGTACTCAAAGAAACACAGATTTGATCATTTGAGCATTGAGTATACACTTTAGTACTTAAAGAAACACAGTTTTGATTACTTGTACATTGAGTATACACATTAGTACTCAAAGAAACACAGATTTGATCCCAATGTACATTGAGTAAACACTTTAGTACTAAAAGAAATACAGATTTGATCACTTGTACATTGAATATACACTTTAGTACTCAAGAAAATACAGATTTAATCACTTGTACATTGAGTATACACTTTTGTACTCAAAAAGAAATACAGATTTGATCATTTGTACATGGAGTATACACTTTTGTACTCAAAGAAATACAGATTTGATCACCTGTACATTGAGTATACACTTTAGTACTCAAAGAAATACAGATTTGATCACTTGTACATTGAATATACACTTTAGTACTCAAGGAAATACAGATTTAATCACTTGTACATTGAGTATACACTTTTGTACTCAAAGAAATACAGATTTGATCATTTGTACATGGAGTATACACTTTAGTACTCAAAGAAATACAGATTTGATCATTTGTACATGGAGTATACACTTTAGCACTCAAGAAAATACAGATTTAATCACTTGTACATTAAGTAAACACTTTTGTACTCAAGGAAATACAGATTTGATCACTTGTACATTGAGTATTATAGTACTCAAGGAAATACAGATTTGATCACTTGTACATTGAGTATACACTTTTGTACTCAAGGAAATACATATTTGATCACTTGTACATGGAGTATACACTTTTGTGGTCAAGAAATACATATTTGATCACTTGTACATGGGGTATACACTTTTGTGGTCAAAGAAATACATATTTGATCATTTGAGCATTGAGTATACACTTTAGTACTCAAAGAAATACAGATTTGATCACTTGTACATGGAGTATACACTTTTTTGGTCAAGAAATACATATTTGATCACTTGTACATGGGGTATACACTTTTGTGGTCAAAGAAATACAGATTTGATCATTTGAGCATTGAGTATACACTTTAATACTCAAGGAACTACAGATTTGATCACATGTACATTGAGTATACACTTTCGTACACCCACTAAGATATTGCTACTTACTATTGCAAGGGTGCCAGCATAAGTTGGGTTGTCCAACAAAACATTGTCTCCAGGGTTGACAAGCATCTCAAACACCTGCAGAAAGATACACATGTAATCAATCAGTTTAAGTCCCCCTGGGGCATATTATCAGGATGTAATATTCTTTCCGATGCATATTCTGTCTATGATATCTCAGAACAATGAGGACATTTTTTTTAGAAATATCTTAGTCTTGAGGTGTTTTACTTAAGAACTAAGATTGCAAGTTCAAAGTTTTTGATAATTAGTATTCCTGGAAGCATTATTTACTTAATGAAACAAGGGCATCTTTCAGAAAATAGCAAATGCAATGTACTCTGAACATAACGGATAGTCTGGAGGTATATTTGGAGCACTTCACTTGAATAGTGCTCCAAATGGTGAAAACTGAATTTATGGTCATTATGAACCTGAACATAGCCTATAGTCTGGAGGCATATTTGGAGCACTTCACTTGAAGAGTGCTCCAAATTGTGAACACTGAATTTATGGTCATTATGTACCTGAACATAGAATATAGTCTGGAGGTATATTTGGAGCACTTTACTTGAATAGTGCTCCTAATTTGTGAAAACTGCATGTTTTTGAAAAAGATTTTGGCTCCAAGCTTGCTGTGGCTAGAAAACCATACCTTACATATCCCATCTTGACTCCCTACAGTTACACAGATGTTCATTTTAGAGTCAGCATCCTGGTCATCGTTTAAGGTAGGCGGGTTGTGTAAATGTGACTGAAATACAGCGGAATATCATTTTCAATAAAACAGGGTGACTCATAAATGAAAAAAATTTGCTTAAATTAAGGTGCGAATAAACCATACAAAATGACTGAAATAAACAATTTAAATAAATCATACAGGGTGACCCAAAAATTCAACCACACAATCTTGGAAATAACTTTGTCATTCCCCTAGGATGTTATTCCAAAATAAGAGGGACATATTTTTGGGGTCAGCCTGACCTTCATGCATACATGTATTCAAGTATATTTTAATATATTTTCTTACAAAACAAAACTATGAAAAAAAACATTTTGATTTTAATTTTGAAACGAGATAAATTAATACATTTGAATTAGTACTACAATGTTATTTATTTACATCATAAAATACCTGTAATTTTTTCATCCAAGTGATCAATTCTGCATTCCCTTGAGTAGGTCCATACTGAAGTGCTGTTTTCATTGTACTAGAATCTATCTTCAATGTGCTCCCATCTCTAAAATATACAATATACACAGGGCTAAAGCAGACACGATGATACCATGAGCATTTGAAGATCCACATTGAGGTAAACATATTGCTGCGCTTGCTAATACATGAAGCCCCGTGACACAGCCATGATACTGCCGAGCAAGATCATGGTATCATCAGGTCTGTTTGTATTACATCTCTAGCTGGTGCAGCAATGAAACAATGATACATTAATAGGGTTAAAAATATATGTTCTATTAGGAGAAATGATTTCCTTGGCATTAAAGCCACTTATCAGGAAGACAAGAGTTGTAAGCAGTAATTACTACCTTTTGATTATTTACTAAAGTAATCACTACCCTCTCGCTAAATAATAATAATTTTACAGTTTTTTATGAAAAATCCTTGAACTGTAATTTATGATAGTTTGGGTATAAAATAAATAAGAATAAAAACTATTGGAATTTCCCAGCTATTATATTTCAGGAATTTTCCAAAACTCGCGAAAAGCGTGAAATATAGTAAAAGTATGTGAAAATTACCGGGAATACAGTATTGCTCACCTTAATTTTATATCTGCTTCTTGGAAGGGAAATAGTTCTGGGTTAGGCATCCCTCCTGCAAGGGAGATCATGCTAGGTGGACTTCTGGATAACAGCTCAGCTGAAAATGTAGTATCAAGCCAGGCCCATTAAGCCAGGATTAGCCAAAGGGGAGTTACTTCTTTTAAAATTCCAGGGGGTTCACTTTTGACAACTTTGGCCCAAAATGGCCAAAATCACTTGAAAAGTGCTCAGATTTTGAAAAAATCTTTGGCCAGGAGGGATCGCTCTAACCCCGGACCTCCCCCCTCACTACAGGCATGCAAGTTCCTGTATTCCTCTTGCATTCATAGGAAGATTTAGAGCTGAAGGTGATGAGGCAATTTATGGGAGAATTACATTTACTTATTGTAAAACAAAAATTAAATGCAATATTCAACAAAACAGTTACAGCAATTTCCAAAACAGCATGAGCAAACAGATGATGCACCAACTTGTGATTTTGAAAATTAATTAATATTCTTGCACCAACTTACTCAAAGAGACACTTTCTGGTCCCATTTCTTAATTACCCATTGACTTCCATGTTAAAATAAACCTCAAAATCACATAAAATTTAACTTTTGGCTGGTCCAAATGGTGTTTGAATTAGATAGGTTTTATTGTATGTGTACATTGTACATGTACATGTTTAAATTAATTGTTATTGTATGTGTATATTGTTCATGTACATTGTACATGTGTACTTACTGAGGACTCTGATGGGAGAGGGTTTCCTTGCCAAGCTAGTGGCATTGAGGAATCTTGCGTAGTTCATCTCAACTTTAGGTGTTATATGTCTCTTATCAATAACACAATCATTTGGAAGATGGTTCTGTAAATAAAGAAGAAGTTTACACTTAAAATGCATGCATTAGGCTTATGACTTTTATGTTCAAAAATAATGTTGAAACACTGCAAAATGGGCTATAAGTTTATACATGAATGGTGTATGGAAAAGAACGGCTCCTCCTACCTCCAGCCAAATAAGCCTCAGACCAGGGTTCCATTGGTGGTCGGAGGGTCGTAAAAAACGACCACTGGAAATTTTGATTTACATGTAGTATTACACTCTAGACTATATCCTATTTAGTCTGAATTATATTCAGACTATAAGGCACCTATGTTAAAGTTTGGAAATTTTAAATATTTGTTTACATAGGAAGTGCTATTCAAAATGGCCGATTGGGTAAAATTAATTTGCACATTTGTTACTTCAACTAGCTTTATTTCCACTTGACAATATGCTGTGTTACCTTTTATTGCATTTAATTGTACCTTACTACTTAATTGAAATTTTGTAATGTTTATTTTATTGAAGAAATGGTTCCTCTAATTGATAATTTTGTGCAAAAAATTTCACTGCAATTTCCACAGGAAAGTAGTACATCATAACAGACTGACTTCTAGTCAGTCTGTTGGATACATACTATATTACACTCCCTACCCACAAAAATTGAATGTCTAACTTTTTTGCTTGAATCCTACAGTGTATGACTTCTCTGACCACCGACCTCCAAGCGCCAACTAGTGATGTTGGACCCAGTCATCATGGCAACTGGTCTGTGGTCGGCTGGGGGTCGGTGGTCAGTCTTTTCCATACACCCATACGTGAACAAGCAACATGAGTCTGAAGGATAGATCCCCTGAACTCTCAATTTGATTTGTAGGGACAGAAACCTTTGCACTTACATTCCCACTTAGTGCCTGTGAAATGTGTAGCCATGACAGGGGTTTCATTAGTATATGTAGCTAACAGACTGATGAAAGAGACAGCCTAAGGCATAGTGTATAGATCTTCTTCTTCTTCTTCTTCCTTTAGGTTTCTGTGTCTGAAACCATTGGCACTGTAATGCTGCCTTTAGACACTTGCTACAGTTTGTCACTTGTATTAAAATTATTGTCACTGGTGCTTTTCACTTATACTTTGTTTATTTTTTGGAGAGAGAGCGCTATTAATTTTGAGGTGTTAGGAGTTTTGAAACTTATTTTGAAATCGTGAGATGATTTAGCTTGCATCATCTATGACCAAAAACAGAGTCACTGTCTCTTCTATGTACACTAATTTTGTTAAAATCTCTTTGTCGAGGCTAAAAAAGCCTGGAATCTCTGTAGAATTCTGGTGTTGATTTCAATGTCGATGTCTTTATCTAGGCCAGTGAGTGTTTTTATGTTGATGCATGGAGTATACTTGGCCCCTAGAAGCAGAGTGTTTACTTCAGCCATCAGTTGTTCCCTCTGTATCTCAAATCTGGAACAGTCAAAGACATAATGTTTTATAGTCTCAGGGATGTTGCATTGGGGACAGTTAGGAGAGTCTACATTTGGGTTGATCTTATTCTGATGGTTGTTAAGCTTGGTATGACCTGATATGATCTGATTTATCAAAGTGCGGGATTTTCTATTACCACTAGCTAGAATGGGCTTTTTATCTTGGACCTTGGTGATACTTGATTGCACATGACTGACCTTGGCAGAATTATTATATCTTCTCTGCCATATTGATAGTGAATTGTCTTTAATATATTTATATGCAGCTGATTTGGTTGTCTTAGCTGCTTTGAGTTTGTTTGACTCTTTTGCTGCTTTCTTTGCTGATTTATCTGCCAGTTCATTTCCTGTTATCCCAAGATGACCCGGAACCCAGTGGATATTGATGGTTTTGCCCTGGCTGGAGAGTATTTTGCATTTCTCTCTGATAATCAGAATGTCCTTGTTAAGTGTTCTTAGTTTAGTGGCAATAAATGCTGATGTTACCGCAGGTTGACAGTCACTTAATATGATGATATTGTTGTTAGTCTTATTGGTGAAAAGGAATTCCATTGCCAATCTTAGAGCGAGAATCTCAGCCTGGTAGTTGTTTCCTTTTAGTGTCCCTGGTTTACCCAAACAGATCGGAGTACAAGATAGGCCATTAATGTAAATTATAGCCGCAGCTCCAGTTGGTCCTGGATTACCTTGCGCCGATCCATCTGTGAAAACAATAGTATCATGAATAGTTGTATTGCCTAGGAGTGTTTCTACTTTTTCGCATTGAGTTGACTTAGTGTTCTTGAACTCCTCCTGGTGAACTGTTACATCAGATGGTAAAAAGGTTTCAGTTTCAGGGGAATGATACATGTGGTTGTCATACATGTGTGGTTCTGTTGGACATTTGAATCTTCTAAGTCTAGACTCAAGTAGGTTGAAAGCTGTTGTTGTTTTTTCTGTGGTTTTGGAATCCTTCCAGAGGTTAAACTCTTCTGTGATAGGATCATTGTTGTTATTGGTCAGCATTCTCACAGCTTCCTGACATTGTCTAGTTTGAATTAGAATGTCGACAGGAAGTGTGCCTGTGATTACTTCCAGAGTGTCAGAGCTGGTGGTGTTGATACAGCCTGAAGCTCTAAGAAGTGCTGATCGCTGGACTTGGGAGAACAATGTTTCTGCTTTATTGGTGTTAGTGATTGCAGCTGTAATTCCAGTCTCGAAGTGTGGCACAACCAGAGATTTATATAACATCATGAAGACTTCCTCACTGCAGCCTTTTGTGCTGTTTGTGAAGTTGCTGATTCCAGTGAGTGCGCCAAAAGCTTTTTTCTGTTTATACTGTAAGTGGGGTATAAATGAGAGTTTGTTATCAATGATTGTGCCAAGAATTTTCTTTTGTTCACATATTTGGAGAGGCTTGTCGTTTAACTTGATTGTGATGTGCTGGGGGGAGGTTCCTGGGGGACTGAAAACTACCCGGGGATTAATAACGAGTGCAAGTCCAATGGCCTCCAATTAAATATCCATAACATAATTGCGATTAAAAGCTATTCGTTTTACAGAATGAGTTGAAACAATTGTATAATCATTTCATATTATGACTGATGTACATGTCACAATGCAGGGTGCTTTATAAATACAATGAAGACATAAAATTGATTAGAATATTACCCACCCGTTGCTAATATTTTTCTGTTTTGCGCATTTTTCGTTCGGAGCAGATGAGCAGCCCCAAATTCTTTCTCTTGACACATTCCAATAATTTTATCAACCGTTATAACTATAGTCTTTGATAAAAATGTACCTTATTTGATATCGTTATGTATATAAGATACATATAAAATACACGTACTGTATGAAAAATTCATCAAAATATCATATCATGTGAAGTAATACATCAAAATGTAGAATGTGTTTGTTTGAAAACCCCGGATGTTAGACTCAACTTCTTACTTTAACTTTTTCTTCCTAAAATATAGCGATATCTCAGCAACCTGAACACAATCTGTAAGTTTGATGTGTAAATATAAATATGTAAACTGACAGGCATAGATTTGACTTCTTATCTAGCTGTGCCCTCATCTGAATATGTCATAGGTGGTAGTTGTAGTGGGGCACAAGCCCCATGTCATGATGATGATGATCTGTACTTTCTTCTCTGTCAATTTTGCCATATCAAACAGATGAATATGATCGTAAACATGTTCCACTTTTGTAAAACTATTTCAGGGACGTGATGAACATTGCACCTAAAATAGTTAGTTCAGGGTGCATGTTCGGAATTTTGCTGCAATCCTCAATAGGGTCGTCATGTTATTTTTCAAATTTGAATCACTCCTTCCCCATAATGTCTAAATCTCTCACTTTTGCACGACGAGTGCAATAATGTACCTAGAAACAGAGACATATAATATTATATGTCTCTGCTAGAAAAGAATGTAGAGAAGAATGTTTTGATAAAATGTATAAAAATCAAGAACATTTTTTTCACTGAATTTTCTCGTTTTTTATACATTTTACGGGGGGGGTGTATAGAGGGTCTTGGAAATGCATATACAATATTTTTCAGCTCTCTTATACCATATACAATATTTTTTCACCATATACAATATTTTTCACAGCTCTTATACCATATACGATATTTTAGGTGAAATACAATATACGATAATTTTGAAACTGCTTTTGATTAAAGTTTGGATATTTATAAGGAAATAATATTATATTAGGAGAGAATCCATGTACTAAAGTAAATGTATTATTATAAGGCAACTAGACTCCACATACATACCACAATGATTTCATTTATTTCATTATGAATTAGACACCATTCGGGTACATCAGCATCAGAAAAGAAATAAAAATTCTTGAAACATAATTGATGCAAAATTGAGAATGTTGAATAAAAGATTCATCATGTGTTCTATGAAAATAAAGTTTGCTGAGGAAAATATTTATCAGATAGATATTGAAGATTCACAATGCACAATAATTTTGTAAAGCAGTTACCTGGAAAATATTAAGTATTTAAAACAGTTTCAGAAATAAAGGACTTCACAAACTTCCATGTAGATAATTCATTTTTGATTGGACTCGAGTCTGGAAACTAGAGTTTGAAAAAAAGGCAAGATGAGACTTGATTGTTTAAACATTTGAAACATGAGACACTTCGGGGTTTCAGATAAGGAAGCCTCAAAGACAGTATAAGTTAAACAAAGGTGTGTCAAAATTAAGCATGAAGGTCAAACCACATGTTTCACAAATGATTTCAAGGCAAAGATGTATTGATGAGAATGAAAACTACTCTATGTAACTAGAAATAACTTTCTTTTAAAGGACCACGGACGGTATCGCAACAGATTTCAGTCATATATTGGATTTTGGCTATTTTCTGAGGATTTGAACAGGTGCATATGTTAGGCCAATGCATTAACTCCAGGACAAGCAGTCATAGAGATTATAAAATAATTTGGACTTTAAGACAGGGAAGGTGCAAACACCCCATCAACATGTTTTTCTGTAATGTTGTCCTGATTTCCAGCCCTTTCCACACCTGTTTTTCAATGTTTGTTGCATCGATCACTCTGTTGCTTTTTTGAGATATGGTTAAGATCTTTAAATGAAAATATGATTCATGCAGGGGTTTTAAAGATATCAATTTTGGATGACCAAAATTAAGCTGAAAACAATGGATCACATGAGTTTTCCCTATGGGAAAATAACATGGGAAATACATGTACTGTTTTCCACTTTATCCCAAATAAATCATATTTTAGAGGTTAACTGTGTCTCAAAGTGCAACATATTGGTGCATCAAACATAAAAAAAACATATGTGGAAAGGGCTGAAAATAAGGACAACATTTCAGAAAAACCTTCCCTGTCTCAAAGTTCAAATTATTTTATTACCTCTATGAGTGCTTGATCTGGAGTTAATGCATTGGCCTAACATATGCACCTGTTCAAATCCCCAATAAATAGCCGAAATCCAACACATGACGGTTTGAAGACCAAATAAACACCTTTTGCTATATTATGCTATATTAGCATTGTGATGCTTGTATTAAAACATGAGCTGTATGAACACTTTATACTCAAATATTTTCATGATTTATCCCACATACCCCGAAACACGAGTAGCCATAGTGACCATATTTTTCATCAAAGTTAAGATGGTCAATGACATTTGGCAGTCTCACGCCCGGTGATCTGATGAAATGAACGGAGGGGGAGTAGCTGATTTTCGGTAAATTCAACAAATGTTGAAGATTTATTTTTTCAAGCAAAAGTTTACAATTGAATGGCTACATGAATAGGTGCAGTGCACAGGGAAATATGTTAAGTCTTCTTGGATTTTTGTTTGAACTGATGGAGTTCTAAGATAAAAGGTCTATCAAAAAAGGCGCAGCGTCGCCAACGTGCAAATGCCAATGTTTTTGCTATAAATCAAGTAACAATGGCAGGCCTGTCAACTGTCCCGCAATTTGCGTATTTGTCACGCATTTGCTGAAGAATTTGAAGTCACGCCAGTTTTTTTTGCGTGACACAAAATGTCACGCAAATACGCATTTTACCTGGTAATTGTCACGCAAATATGTTTCTGTAAAAAAATTTTCAAAATATGTTTATGATACGGTAAAAATACGAACGTCGGAAAAAAACGAACGCAATTTGTTCGGATTTGTCACGCGAATCCCGTATATGTCACGCATGTTCATTGGAAATTTTCGTACCTACCCCCCCCCCCCCCCCCCCCCCCCCCCCCCCCCCGTTGACGATATCGCGAGCGTATCGAGCGCGAAAAATTTGAGGTGATAAAAGTTTAGCAAAGGTGCTCAAACTTTGGCCAAAGGTGTTTAAAAGTTGGCCAAAGGTGTTCAAAATTTGGACAAAAGTGTTCAGATTTGGACTTCGGTGTCCAACATTTGTAAGTCACTCATATTAGGTGGTCCCAAGTTGACAGCCCTGCAATGGTCTGCACGACATGTAATAAATATATAACCGACATTTTTATATCACAAAATTCATTGCCGGTTTTTTAAAATAATTTTCCAAATGATAGATAAAAAATAATCGAAAATAATTAAAATTGAACGGAGGGGGGGGGAGTGAACGGAGGAGGGGGGGGAGTAAAATGTCTTTAAGGTGGAAGAAATTTCCACAAATTCGTGTACTTGAAAAATGAACTCACTTACTCAGTTACTTGATGTTACAACTCTGAAAAATGAAAAATGGGGACATATGGATTTATTGGAAGTTTTCATATGTCTTATAGACAAATTACTCCCCCCCCCTCCATTCAATTTTAATAATTTTCGACTACTTTTTGTATAACGTATGGTAACATGTTTTACAAAACCCAATAGTTTTGTGATAATTACTTCACCTACAAGTATTTATTACAGGTCGTGGAGACCCCTGTTGGTTGATTTATAGCAAAAACATTGGCATTTGCATGTTGGCAACGCTGCACTTTTTTAATAGTTCTTTTATTTTAGAACTCCACAGTTAAAAAAAATCCAAAAAGACCTAACATATTTTCCCCCGTCCACTGCGTCTATTCATTTAGCCATTCAATTGTAAACTTTCTCTTGAAAAAATAAATCTTCAAGATTTGTTGAATTTTCTACCGAAAATCAGCTAGATCTACTCCCCCCTCCGTTCATTTCTTCTGATCACCGGGCGTGATTCTTATTTGAGACTGTATTTAACACCTCCTGTGAAAATTTGAATGAAAAGGGCACAAAACTCTTAGTTTGAGAGGGATTTTCTCTAAACTAACAGTATCGATTGACCTGGAATTTGAAAACAATTATAGAGACTACTTTTCCATGTTTTTCCAACACGGTTACAGCAAGAGAGTTGGCACAATGGGGGAACTTTAGGGTATAATTTCTTCATAATTAGCCTTCTTTAATTCTAGATACCATATACCATATTTTCTAAAATACCATATACCATATTTTTTACACCTCTTATACCATATACGATAAATTTTGCCCCCTCTTATACAATATACAATAAATTTTCAGCCTCTTATACGATATACAATATCTCTATACACCCCCCCCATTTTACAAAACAAATCTTCCCACCAGTCTTTTCTAGGCACACAGTCAAGTGCACTCTTTGTGCAAAACTGGAAGATGTACATGTAGACAATGTGGGGAAATTGGGGAATGAGTGATTCCTGTTTGAAAAATAACATGTGACTCAATTGAGGAATGCAGCAAGATTCCGATTATGCACCCTGGCCTTAAATCATCAAAACATTCAAAAATGGACTTGCCGGACAGTTTTTTGAAATTTGCCATTTAGATCAATCAGAATTGCAGCATTTTGAACCGCACCCACTATTTTGCTGGACACTCCAGATTACGATATTGAACTTGGAGAGAAGAAAGAACTGATCATGATTTATTGGGCCTTCCCCAAATCATAACTGCATACTCATAGTCTAAATAGTCTTTAGGCTACACAGCTACACAGAGCACCTGTGGAAAATGTAATCTCCTGGAAAATCAAAGCTACTTGCTGCATTTCTGGTGCCCAGAGAAACTTATTCTAGCTTGAGACTACCGTTATACTTTCTCACATACATCCTAACGTCTGTTCTATGTTTTCCCTAGGCCAAAAAAGTTTTGATGAAGTGGTGCCAAAGTCAGTGCCTCATGCAGGCCGTCCAACTGTCCCGCAAGTTGCATATAAGTCATGCTGAAGAAATTGAAGTCAGGCCTGTTTTTTTGTGTGACAGAATATCCCCTAAAATTTGTATTTTACATTTCCACTGATCTATGGCCTCTTGAAAATTGTTTTATTTTTAACATGGGAAATCTTCACTTCAGCAAACCCATGACTCATTTATTTATGGTCCAAACTCAAAACTGCACTGTAGTACCTCTAAGCTATAAAAACCTAATAGGCAAAATACATGTAAGTGTTATCAGTTTGCAACTTGAGAGACATTTAACACCCTATTCCTTACTGTCACTAAACCAATTTCTTTCTTTGTAGCAATATGGCTCCAAGACTAGAAGTGTCATTCCCAGAGACATTGCTGTCATTATTTCAAAGTCTAACATCTGAAGATAACACAGATGACATCATCATGCTAACTGACACGGAAGGTGAGTTATGTTTTAACCTTTGTGTTAACTACCAGAAAAGGTGAGTTATGTTTCAACCTTTGTGTTAACTACCAGAAAATTATATTTTATTTTTCAATATTGTTATACTGTACATACAGTACATCCTTTAATGATTAACTGATTATCCTACATGTCTGGGGCTAACTGACACAGAAGTTGAGTTATGTTTTAACCTTTGCGTTAAACTACCAGAAAATTATATTTTATTTTTTAATATCATTATCATATATGCAGCACATGTACTTTAATGATTAACATATTACTCACACACTCGCTCAAATATGACACAAAGTTTGATTTGCTTTAATATTGAACCAAGAAAAAAATAATTCACAAAGAAAAAAACATTTGAAGATCAGAGATCATTAGACATGCATGCACATGCTAAACAAAGTGCATGTTTTTAATTACCTTTGATTTAAAAGATGGTGACACTTCTATAGAAATGAATGTCCAAACAACTTCGCCATCTTTCAATGACATTGATAAAAACTTGATATGTAAAGCTTGACAGACCGAAAATATTTTTTGATTAATTATTGGAAGCTTTGATGTGGTCCGTTTGAGCTGTTGGTGGTGTCAAATGAAAGATAGGGTTCTTATCAATACATTGGACATTCTATAGAATTCATATAAAAGTCTTTATGTTGCCCAAAAACATTGAAAATATGCAGAGTGGGCCTTTAAATGAAAGTTAGGGATCATCTCAAAAGCTTCTCACTTACTGAATATTTGATGAAATCCATTTTGTTTATTGACCAACCACCTTAAATAATAATTTTTTTTAATTCCTGAATAATTTCTTGTTTTAATTCATTTTCAGGCCATGAAATACACCTTACTATTGAGCCTGTTGAAAATAAGACTACAAAAGCTATTGCGAACATATGTAGGATTCTTGTGATTGGTAAGTATTTGATAGTTAATGGGCTATCTAGAAAGCCAATGTCCTAATTCTAAATTCCTCATAATTTGAAAAATCGTATCAGCTTGCAAGTTGCATCAACAATAGATTTTGGCACAAACCCTCTTTCCAATGATTATTAAAGCTGGTATTGAGGACCAAAATAAATATTCTTAGCACATTCTTAACACAGTATTTTAATGATTCAAGATTATATTCTAACAAATGTTAATTAGATATTATGAGGTTATATAATGGTTCTTTCTGTATATCGTGTTTATACTCGAGTGAGTATATGATATATTCACAAGTGAGCGTATTCTCACGAGAGTATAAAATGCACGATATACAGAAGGAACCATTATATAATCTTATTATGCCACTCTAAGTTCAATTACAGTTGATTCGAACACAATCATAACAATTAAAAACCATAAAAATATCCCATAGCCAACTCAATAATGCTGATGTTGGTTTATGACGTCATTTGATTCTAGGAAATCATATTTTTTATTCATTATTTCCCAGAATGCACTTCTACAGTGGTATACGCTGGAGTGTATACGGAGGAGTTGTATACGATGACGATATACCACTCTCCACTGTATATCGTTGTTATAGACCCATGTTATACAACTGTAATTGGACTTAGAGTGGTATAATTAATCATACAACATGTTGTTCCTTACTATAGAGAATTAAAGAGCCTACCGGTTTGACCATTTTTAGCATACATGTTGATATTTTCTTATGTAAAAGTATTGCTTGTCCAAGAGGTTAAATACTGTAGATCTATACACTTATTTTGATGCTCTTAATTTGATGGATTTGCTCAATTTCAAATATTGGCGGCTATTTAATTTAGCGGATTCAGGACTGAAGTTTAATTTTTGTCTATGTTTATGTCATTAGGACAGGCATTTACTAAGATATTTTCTGTATTTTTTTGAGAATAATGTAAAATTGATGACATGTTGATAGGAAAAGGGGCCCAGAAGGTTAATTTCTAAAGTGCATGATTGGACAAAAATTCCAAACTGAAATTTGACTGAGCCTCTTGACCAGTAAATGTCAAGACAAGAAAGGTTTATATGCTCAAAGTGTCATCTTCTGCGAGTTTCATGAACTTGTTGAAAACATATGGATCACCAAGTCTGGTAGGTTCACATAAAATAAGGAATATTTTTTATGTCTTTCAGGAGAAAGTGTATTGACTAAAGACAATCAGAATGACTGCCACACATGTACAATTGGTGATGTCACAACTAAACCATCACCAAACAGTACCATGACAACAGATGAAAAACAAACAATCAAACCATCTCCTGTTGTCACCTTGACAACAAATGAAAAACAACAAACAATCAAACCAATTATTACTATGACAACTGGTGAACAACACATCAACAAGAATGAAAAAGTTGATACTGAAACTAATGATATTAGTGGAGGTACCCCAAGGAGGTCAAGACGTGAAAGACGAAAAGTGCTCCCCCCTGATGCCACCATAGAACTTATTAAACAACCTTTACATATTGAATTACAAAAACAGCAGGGGGGTTCACTGACTAATGCCAAATATGAAAACGATGACTTTGATGAGGCCCGTATTGCTAGTGACATCATCGCTAACTCTGATCAAGGGGATACAGAAGCTTCTACAGACAGTATCACTCAACATGAAGAACCAGAATCAGAACCTGAGCCAAAGCTAGTTAAAAGATACAGAGATTTTAAAACACTAAGTGAATTCAAAGATATGATTCACTGTTCGTACTGTGGGCTATTTATGCATAAAGATCGATTGTCGAGTCATTGTGAGATTGAACATGCCACCGAAGTACAAGACAAGGATAAAGTCTACATGTGTGAACAATGCAGTGATATTGTTGAAGACATTGAATTGCATTATAGAACATTGCATGCCTCAGTGAACATCAAGACAAATCAGAGCAATGTTTGGTGTCGAGATTGTCGCCAGAATGTCACGGAATCAAAATGGAGGAATCATCGTTTGAAAAAACATGGCCAGTATAAACTCTCAGAATGCCCGAAATGTCAGAAAATTTTCAAGTCCAAAAATTATTTGGAAAAACATATGAGGAGATTACATACTGATAATCGCCTGTATAAAGCATGTGAGTTCTGCAAGGAGATGTTTACTGAGGATTACCTTGAAATGCATGTTAAAAGGATGCATAAGGAGGTGCAGATGTTTAGTTGTGAGTTTTGTAACTACCAGGGTAAGGATAGGAACTATTTGGAGAATCATATTCGGGCAGTCCATCTCAACGAGAGGAAATGGCCATGTACATTGTGTGGAAAAAACTTCAAAAATAAATCTCACTTAATTTCACATAAATCTGTCGTCCATGATGGAATACGAAAATACGCGTGTGAGTTTTGCGGAAAACGCTTCACGAAACGTTATCATTTAGAAACTCACGTGAGAACCCACACAGGAGAAAAACCATACAAATGTAGCGAACCCGATTGCTCCAAAACATTCTCAAGTAAAACAAACTGTGATGTACACATACGTCATGTCCATCGGAAATCCTACCCGTATCGATGTGCGTCTTGCCAAGAAGGATTCAGGCGGAAAAATCTACTCGAGCAGCATTGTGTTACAATGCATGAAAAACTTCCAAGAGTAGAGGCAAAATTAAACCCACAGTATAACATGTTATTGGTAGAGCCAGATTCTCATTATGTACTATGGGCCGATGGCTCAAATACTACTTTGATATCATCGCAAAATGTCGAGCCTCAGTTTCAGTACCTTCAGGTCACTGGTGCCGATCAACCTGTCTCTGTAGCTGGGGAAATTACCCTAGACAAAATTCAGTGATTTGTTTCAATATTTGAAATCTTTTGCTCTTGACTATCAATAAGCTCATTAAGTAAGATCATGGTGAGTAAGTCACCCCTACCTCTTATATTCTAGCCTAGTACTATTTAATATAGAGAATATTAGAGGGAGGGGGCGACTTACACGCTGTGAAAAAGAACAATGAAAAAGCTCATCTGATATCCACGATTTTAAATTAAGGTGACAAATGCTCCCCAAAAAATAAATTATTACAATGTTGATGGCATTTGCCATACTGCCATAATCTCAGTGTATTTGAAATGATTTAATATTTATGAAATAAATAAACTACATGTATTGAAAAAAGTAGAATCAACAGTGTTTGTAAAGAAGGAAACAATTTAAGTTACTGAATAAGATCTTAGTCCATGTGATACTTTATGATGCTTTATTTACTAACACCTGTCAACACTAGTATTTTCAGAATCACTTAAAGTTTTCTTTTGGCGGTCCAAAAATCAAATTAAATTGAGAAGTTCTTGTAATCAAATGGTCTTATCAATGATATGACATTAAGGTACAGCTGGAAAGTAACATTTTGGTAAAAAATTGCTATACCAGCACATGTTATTTTCTGGTACAAAATAAAGTATGAAGACATTTGTCAATTGCCTTACTTTTTTCAGGAAAGTATCATTACATTGTCTTCTTTAAGAATATCTAGTAGGAGTTCAATGGGAACTCCAGGAAATTCTGATATTTCACACTTTCTATTTTTCCAAATTTTCTTTCAAAGTTTCCAGACAACACAGGAGCTACCATTGACCTGTTTCCAGGTTTACTAAAAGTAGACAGTGTAATGATACTTTCCTGAAAAAAGCAAGGAAATAAACACATGCCTTCATACTTAATTTTGTACCAGAAAATAACATGTGCAGGTATAGCAATTTTTTACCAAAATGTTACTTTCCAGCTGAACCTTAAAATGTAAAGCCTGTGGTGTAGTGAAAAGAGGTATGGTATATATCATTGGAAAGCCTTATCATCATTCTTCTCTTTGGGAAAATCCTGTTTTCTTGAAATTCGGATCGGGAATCCGACGTTCTCCTGTACTTTTAAAAATAGCTAATTTTCATTTTTATTACTATCTGCCCTATGTGCTTCGAAACAAAGCTGAAAACTGATCTCAAATATAGATGGCATAATAGAGTTCTGGTAAGTTACACCTAACCAACGTGTCAACGTACAGCGTCAAAAATACTAATTTGACTTCACTTCTTAAAAGAGAGCCTCGTCTTGTAGTTTAACTAGACTCTGCACGCAGGGTACACAAATAGCTTATCCATGAGAAAATATGAATAGGCAAGGTTGTCTTTCCTATTGGTCCAGCATTTGCGGTTATTTTTATCAGCCTTACCATTCTTTTCAAGCGGAATGCAGATCAACGATACATAAAAATGTTTCCATTATACTCTAGCTGTTTCCTTGCCAGCAAAATCGACGACTATTATGTACCTGAAATTGTTTGTAGTGAAAACATGCGAATATAGCTATAGCAGAAATTGTAGGCCTACAGGACGTACCCGAGATTTGATCCATGCAAAAGAATGACTGTTGATATATTAACGTTTTTAAAATGCAAATGACTCCTCGATGAAAAACATCCAATATCTCCTCCCAAGCTAATAGACTTTTAAGCTGACGCAGGCAACCTTCATTTTGGCTTTGCCACTCAAAAATACATCGACCTGTTATTCTCCAAAGTTGGGTACACGTGGTCGGTCACTCGGTCTTTGATATGAAGATGAATAGATGCAAAATTAGAAGAGGAAAATAAAACTAATTATAAAAACTATTCAATAACTTTAAGTATTTTTTACATGTGATGGATATGATTAAATTGTATTCAACCCTAGTCTGCAACCTTTCTTTCATAATACTAATAAGTCGCAAGCGGGGAGGGGGTAATTTGGACTAGGCCTATACAATTTTTTTTGATTTCAATAATGTTGGTATTATTGTAAATCTTATTCAATTAGCTCTTCAGAAAAGTAATGCATTTTTTGAAAAAAGTAGGTAAAGAAGGTCAACGTTACCAAGGACATTTTGGACAATTTGAGATAAAATGTCAATTTTCTTTCAAAGTAAAAATGTTCATGCCAAAAATCGTACGCTCCATAAAAGAATGATCATCTTTCAAATGAAACTAAAGTCAAGGTAAACGCTTTTCTATAACTGAACCTTATCTCTTTCAAAGATATTAATATTGAGGAATCCATAACATTGAAACCAATGTACGCGCAAAATTGAATAAATGAACAATTTCAGTTTGTTGTCTTTATCATTCATATCAGGTTCAAGATGTGAAACAAATGCCAACTCGTGATAGTAAGAAAATATATATTGACTTGGTATTATTTCAATATAATTTTTGCCCCGTGAATTTTCCTAACATTTTTCCATGTCCTGCTAAACATGGTAATTATATATATGGTTGTAGCTACCATATTATTATGAGAGAGATGGTCTGGCAAGGAATATTCCTTTGAACAGCGGCAATTAATGAAATTGAAAAATTGGGGATAGGGGAGAATACGAAAAAAAGATATAAAGCCTGGAAAAAGCTATCATCACGATTCTGTTTTGTGCATTAACATTCAGAAATATGCAAAAAAAGTTCAGAGGTATTCATCAAGTAATTTTTGAAAAAACGTTTTCCAAATTCGTGAAGAGAACGCGATACGCCTCGACAACAAATCATTTTCATTAGAAATATTAGGAACGACGTTAGCAGGCCAGGAACCTTACAGAGTTTTTGCTTGCCTTTCGGTAAGTGTCTTTTACGTAGTGACCCTAATGCTCAGATAATTCAGTTTTGGAGATTATTAAAGGTGCAACAATTTTACAGAGGAGCCAAAGTTCAGCGATGAGGTGATAAAATCTCTGATGACTAACATATTTTTATTATCTCCAAAGAACCTACGTACCCTTTTCATTCGTTCGACTTCACTTCTGAAAAGAGAGTTTATGACTAGACTCTGCACGCAGGGTACAAAGAACCCGGCCCCTAGATGAAAATTATTCCAGCTGATATTCCCCTCGAACTGCATTTTTATGACTACTGAAATGAACGCGCTATTATTTCATAAGATTCAACCCCCCCCCCCTTTGCTTCTGGATCCGCCAGTGATGAGGATAGCCTTTTCATTGAAATAGGCCCTGTGATTTTAAAATAAATCTCAAGGTCTAACATTGAAAGTTTGCAACCATCACAACACTCTCTGTATATTAATGTAACTGTATGCATGTAGTTTGTATCAAATTGTAGTTTGGCCGTGCCTTAAAAAACTCCAAATTCTACTAACAATTACATGCAAGGGAGGGGAAGCTTCAAGCTACTACTGCCCTACACCAGTTCTTCTCACAGTCTGGAGTAGGTTTGGCTTCTTTGAGTTTTTGAACAATGTTGCATTCTACACTCTCTATCCAGGTGAGCCATAGACAGAACATAATCAATGATGAAGAAAGAGTCGGAACTGAGCAACGCCCCCCCCCCTTCCCAACGTAAAGGGAAATTATATGGGATCTTAATTAGTACTAGTAGGTACTCAGACAGGGGCTGTAGGGGCGGATCTGGGAACCAACAAGGGGGGGGGGGCAAATTTCAGGTCAGGGAAAAAAATGTTGGGCCCCTAAAGCCGAAAAGTGGGCTTTTTGAAATTTTGAGGCCCATTTTCTTCAAAATTTGGCCTAAAATGCCTGATATAGGCCCAGTAATGACCAAAAAGGCCCACTTTTTGGTGCCTTAAGGCCTTTTTTGTCCCAAAATTGTTTTTGGGCCCAATTTTTTTCTGGGCCCAACTTGGATCCGCTTAATCACTTCGAGAGCCATGTTAGATTTTGAAACTTATATCAAAATCCACATAGCTTTCGCAGTAAGTAAGGATCCGCCATTGGGCTGAGGCCTTGGAGCTCCTTGGCAGGGGAATATAGAAGAGTAATGAAGAAAGAAGTCAGCCACGCTACTCTGTTTATATTACAAATATATTTGTATACGAGTTCTGTCTGTTGACCAATATCAGTCACGGCTATATTGTACATGTAGATGATAATAGGCCTACTAAAACGATCAAGAGAATGATCGATCCCCATCAATTTCTAACGAGTAGCAGCTATTCTATTTACATTTCCGGTTATAAATGAAAAGAAATATTTCATTTCACACTGCGTTTTATCCAAATTATACAGTTATGTAGAACTATAAAGTGTAATATTAGCTCTTTAGGTGAGTTGAATCTGTGTTATTAATGATGAATGTTGAATCGACCTTGAATGCAGTGGTTAGTGAATAAATTTTCTAGATTCAGATTGCAGTTCATTTTTAAGGTTCAGCTGGAAAGTAACATTTTGGTAAAAAATTGCTATACCTGCACATGTTATTTTCTGGTACAAAATTAAAGTCCATTTCACTGCTTCAGTTCGTCAGTAGAACGGCAAAAATAAGAACTTGGGAGACTATTGTGCAATAATATATGGAAAAGTATATTCATAATGTACATGAATGACATTTGTATATTTCAGATTTTTTAGTTTTTTGTGCAATAAGCCTGTGCCGTCTTGTAATTTGAAGAATTTCAGCCATGTTAATCTTATTGAAAATAACATGGCAGAGAAACATCCAAATATAAGAGGCCACACACTTTATAAGCCAAACTAGAAGTAATCCAAGATATACAAATGTCATTCATGTACATTATGAATATACTTTTCCATATATTATTGCACAATGGTCTCCCAATTTCTTATTTTTGCCGTTCTACTGACGAACTGAAGCAGTGAAATGGACTCTAAGTATGAAGTCATGTGTGTATTTCCTTGCTTTTTTCAGGAAAGTATCATTACACTGTTTACTTTTAGAATATCTGGAAACAGGTCAATGGAAGCTTCTGTGTTGTCTGGAAACTTTGAAAGAAAATTTTGAAAAATAGAAAGTGTGAAATATCAGAATTTCCTGGAGTTCCCATTGAACCCCTACCAGATATTCTAAAAGAAGACAATGTAATCACAGTCAGAGAGAATGTTTCTGGCGAAATTCTGGGACTTCAAATAGTATAAATATAGTTCCAGGGCAATTCGAAGAACGTATTAGATGTCCGTGAATGTAATGATACTTTCCTGAAAAAAGCAAGGAAATTGACACATGCCTTCATACTTTATTTTGTACCAGAAAATAACATGTGCAGGTATAGCAATTTTTTACCAAAATGTTACTTTCCAGCTGTACCTTAAAATAAAAAAGTGGTGATTTTTCAGTTCCTTACCTCAGTTTTCTGGGAAGTGATATAAAGGATGGCCTAGTTCAGGATGTTTAGAAGTTTTAATGGTTTCTACATCATTCCATAAGTAAAAATTTCAATCTTTTATTTTCAGATGTAGACCTAGTTATCACTATGGCGACTCCATCTTGTGGCCGCCAGGATAGTAAAATGGAAGAGCTACTAAACTGTCCAATATGTCTAGACCCATACAACGATGGCGATAAGACACCCAAGCTTCTACCTTGTCATCACACATTCTGCATGGCATGTTTGCGTCGTCTCGCTGGGAGAAATCAGTATCTCGATTGTCCAAATTGCCGCCAAAAGATCAACCTCTCATCACCGAACACTATAGAATCCCTCCAGACAAACTTTTACATAACAAATGTTAAAGAAGCTATACATGAACAGAATGAAGCATCCTCGAAAATTGTTAGTGGATGCAAAAAGCATGCTAATCAACCACTGGCGTTCTTCTGTAAAAAATGTGAAGTGCCGATATGTAGAGATTGTACCTTGATGGACCATAAAGAAACAACAGGTCATGTGACCACCAACCTTGATGATGCGGTTAAAGAACAAAAACGTTTCTTGGAGATTGAAATAATGGAAGCACAAGGTAGATATTTATAAATGATTTCTTGAAATGTGGATGAATTCTTATTTTGGCTTTAGTGCTATAGAGAACCATAAATGGATGTTTCAGTTATATTTTTATTTTTTTGAAATATATAATCTGTGTGTTTGTCACTTTCAATCCCAGCCTATTTGACTTTTGAAAAACCAATGCACTATGCAAATGAGATAACCATTGGTAAAACATCCATATTATTTTCTGAACATGTTCAGTTATTAACTGGTATATACTATCAAGTTTTGCCAAATTACTAATGATTGCATCTGTTTATTTCTTTGTGTATAACATCTATTTTTGCCTATGGGAGCCTATGGGATTGACCAGGCGTCCTTCCTTGGTCCTTCCATCCGTCCGTCCATCTGTTTAGAGATTTATTGTGTTTTGACAATGTGTTCCAGGAAACGTGATGTCAAACAAAGCCAACATGAGTCTGTTGGAGAGTGAAGCCACCAATCTGCGTGCTATCAAAGATGACAGCCTTGTACGCTTAGAACAATCATTCAAACACTACCAAGCAATCTTGATGCAACGTTGCGATCAACTGCGTACTGAGATCATGGATCAGTACACAAACCAGAAAGAGAAACTTGGGACAGGCACCGACCAGCTGATGTCAAGTAACACAAACTTAAATAGTTTGATTGAGGAGTGCACTGGTGTTTTGAAACGTGATGAAGTGTTTGATATCTTAGCGTATAAATCCAAAATTGCTGGGAAGAATTCCGAGATGAGGTACCTTGAGCAGACCAGGGATGCGCAAGATACTGTTGCAGTAAAGTTTGATGATACGTGTGGAGAGGAGCTGATAAGTCAATGTGTCAGCCATCTTGGTTCCCTGCAACTGACCACCAGTCTGCCATCTATTGTCCAGTTTAAGCTCCCATTATGCGCTACCGCGAGTCTTATGTGCACATTTAGTGTGCTTATCCAGAAGAGAAATCGCCAGGCTTTCACTCAAGTTAGCTCAATTAGCGTTGATATAATCGATCCCTCCGATGACACCATAGATTCGATTTTCACAGCATCGTCCCAGTCAGGACAAATTGATATCACGTTCCGTCCCCAGATCTCTGGTCCCCATATTGCCAACGTAAAGTATCTGGGTCAGCCAATCAAGGGGGCTAAAGCTACTATTGATGTCCAGAGTAACAACCCTGTAAGCCGCCTGGGAAGTAAGGGATGCGACCCAGGGATGTTCCAGTACCCACGTGCTGTTGCACTTGACCCCCATGGCAATGCCTTCATAGTCGACACTGGAAATTGTCGCATCCAGAAATTCAGCAGTCAAGGAAAATTTCAACATCACTTCAAAATAACAAATGACACTGATAATTATTCTACTTGTGGAATAGCCATTGACCCAAACAGTGGACTCATTATCTGCCCAGAGGTCAATATCGATGCAGCCGATCTTGCCAAAGCTGACACAATTATGTTTTACACACCAGATGGCAGACTACGTCAACAGTTGTCGTATCCGGGGACGATGAAACGAGCCTTGTGTACCGCGATCAATAGCCAGGGTGACATCATTGTTGCCGATTTTGAACTGAATGCCATATTTGTGTATGACAAACATGGTCGTCTGGTCAGAAAATTCGGTGAAGCTGGATCAGGGCCTGGGCAGTTTAACCACCCTACGTTTGTTTGTGTTGGACTTGATGACACAATGATCGTTGCAGATGGAGAAAACCACCGTATTCAAGCATTTGACCGTGAAGGACAGTTCCTATATGAGTTTGGAGGGAAGGGAAATGCAAAGGGTCAGTTTAAAATGCCATTTGGAGTGGCCTGTGATAAGCATGGGAATATCTTAGTGGTTGATGGGGGAAACAAGCGTGTGCAGATCTTCAAACAAGGAGGTATATTCACCTCCTGTTTGGAGAGTCTAAATGACCGGCTGAGTGCACCAAGGGGTCTAGCTGTCACTCAAGATGGTTATGTAATGGTTGCTGACAGAGATAACCATTGTGTCAAAAAATTCAAGTACATGTAAAAAAATGCAAGTACATGTAAAAAGACAAGTATTTGTGAAAAATGCAAGTACTTGTAAACATGTGAAAAGTCAAGTACATGTTAAAAATATAAGTACAGAAGACCCTTGTGAACATGATTCTAAAACATTTAGTACCTTGTACCCCTCTCCCATTTCCTATTTTTAAATGGGAAGGGAAAGGGTATTGAATATTGATGCAAAACTAAATTTCATTGTTTGTGTTATGGTTGTGGTACCCTTTTTTAATTACTAACAGCCTATAGATTCCTTTACAAATAGGGAAATAAGACCATTTGTATCAGTATTGAACAAATGAACAATTGAACAATGCTCATATATCTAGAGAGGCATTTGCAGTTATCAATTATGAAATTTTTGTTCATTCATTTCATTTAGACAGCTTTTTGTGTAATAACATGTACTGTATGCCCGGTATTATTCGCGAGATTTAATTTCGCGAATTTTGCGAAAACACGATTTCGCGGCTATTAAATTTTGCGAATTTCATAAGTTTGAAATTCATTACCATTCCAGGAATTCTCGAGCCACTCGTGTGTTAATTAAGTTAGATGTACAGTAATTGCACTTACCTGATGTCATATTTGGATGAGATTTACAATAACTGGGATCTTTATCATCGGCAAGCTGCATATCAACCTCTATTGCATCGTCAATTTTAATATTAAAGCAAAAGTGCGTGGCTCCCATAATAACTTTACTGTACTTCATACTGTATTTTATCTTATCTGGGGATTCCCCAGTATATGATGTCCAATCAAATTGCAGGCTACGATCAGGTGAACAATCGTGTACACATGCTCTTTCATTGCCGCTCATGTCATAGTAAAGTCATGGAGTTGCACAGTACTATTGAAGTACTATAACTCGATCCAAACAAATTTCGCGACGGTAATTTTTCGCGATTTTATCACCCTCGCGAAAAGCGCGAAACTAAATCGCACGTGAATTATACCCGGCGTACAGTATTACTTGGACAGGGCGATTACTTGTTGTCTATGGATGATCATTTGTTACTCTATATACTGAATTTATTTCATTGCTGAAATCCATCAATTATGCCTTGCCTCAGTGGGCCCAGAAAAAATTGAGCTTTTGGGCCTCAAGATTTTGTTGGGCCTCAAAAATGGGCCTTTTTGGGCATACTTTGGCCTTATATAAATTAGGCTTTTTTATCAAAAAATGGGCATTGAATTTTCAAAATTTGGGCCTAATTTTTGGTTTTAGGGACTCCAAATTTTTTTGAAGACTCAAAATTTAGGCCCCAACCCTTGTTATTTTCTGGATCCGCCACTGTTGCCTTACCAACATCTGCGAAAGGATGTGATGACCAGTTATAAAATGTTTATGCACCTCTGTCAACCCACCGATTAACATGAACTGTAGCTTTGTACATACTATCTGACTATACAATTCTGGTAAAGTTGAATGCTTAGGTAAGTGGAATACCTCTAAAGTAGAACACTTAAAAAGTCCCACCTGCCAAAATTAAATTTTGATCCTTGATATGGCCAAATGGGTTGCATAGGGACAAGAGACTTGATTCAGGACTATATTATTTCATTTTATTTTACTTTAAGGATCGGGAACAAAGACTCATATGTTGAGTTGATGGTGGTTTACTGCATGAGGTTTTTTGGTTTTGTATAACAAGGCTGCATGTGGCATTACCACTTGCCAGAATATCAGAAATGGCATTAATTTTAACTCATCAGGATCATGTAAGTGTAATACAATATTAGCTTTTACAAGTAACTTGTGAAGTTACATAGCTGCAAAATATATCATTATTTAAAAGATATTCCTACATATAAAATGTATTAATAATGTAAAATAGTATAATATGTAATGACCCGAGGGCGCCCCGGGGGAATGTCTAACTAACGAGCATAGTGTAACAAGCCAGGCTTAAGCTTTTATAGCTCAGTCGGTAGAGCATCAGACTTTGGATCCAGGGATCCTAGGTTTGATTCCCACCTGGGGCATTGAATTCAGCACACTTTCTTTCAATTTCTTTATCTGGCTTGTTACACTATGCTTGTTAGTTAGTTGTTCCCCTTGGGTGTCCTTGGGTCTTTACAAATATACTGTAGATAGAATATATGGATAAAAACCAGGCCTTTCAATTTCACACAGCCTAGGTTAAAGTTGTAAATGGTAGAAAATGTTTACATGTTTGGAGAAGAGTCTGAATTTCTAAATAAATGTATTTTTGAGAAAGGGTCACCCTTTAACTCTTGCCACCCTAACAATGTACATGTATGTTCTCATAAAAATAATAAAATCATGAATTAGAAGTTTATTTTTTATTCAGAGAGTTAGAGCCATAACCAAATTTACTTTTGAATTTGTATCTCATTTTTTTTGTACTACATGTATTAAATTTGTGTATTTCTGTTTTACAAATTGCTTGATGTGTCTGCAAATAAATTTGTTCTTACAACATGTAACCTTGTTCGAATGATTTGGTCAAATTATATTTATTAACTAGAACATCTTGCCTAAGCTCTATCTGGAGAACATTTTCAATAAGAGACGTCAATAGAGTCCAGTAATTAGGATGAGGAAAAAACCCATTTAAGCCCACAAACTGACAAATAATTTTATAAGCATGTTTCCATTCATGAAATAGTACCAATACACCAATAGTAATTCATTTGTTTCATAACATTAAGACAATTACTCTTAGACTAACATAAACTTTTATTATTCAAAGTTGAAACCCATCCAAATAACATGAGGCCTATTGTGTATACATAGTCGGACAGTAGGCCTCGGCAGATAATCCACGGACTCCACTTTTCCCGGGTGATTTTCATATTTCTACCTCCTATCGTACAAATTAAAGAGCTTAATGTGTGGCGTGTCATGATTTATTGGCCAATCGCGTTGCATTATTTAATTCACCTCTGTAACTAGGAGATTAACGCCATTTTAGATTTTACTGTGAATTTTCGTTATATTTTCACGTTTTCTGGCTTTGTTCTGACACATATCAACATATAGGTAGATCAAAACGATAAAGGTACGTAATTGCTATTTTATTAAAATAGAATTTTTGATGGGGATCTGTCAAAAGCTACGAAATCGACATGTCTTCATATTTTTTAATTTCAACTTTTATTTTTTCTGTTTTCAATTTGATTTGATTTTAATTTCAAATCCATTTTCAATAATTTACTTTAGTCTTAATGTTTGACTGGCCTTTAGTTATTGATATTTCTATTTAACACCAATCTATATGTCAATTTATACAGCAAATGCTAGTTTATAGTATTTCTCACTCTTCTGAATTATAAGAATGATATTTCACACTAAGCTTTGGCCTACCCTTCATTCAGTCATTATTATTTGCCAGATGAATATTTATATGTTTTATACATTTACATGTTTCTTTTTTCATATCTTACAATTTACAATATCAACATGCATGTACCTTTCTTCTTTCAGATGGCGGCAACCCTGCCAGCCATTTATTCTGGGGGAGGGACCCAGATAAAACAGTCACCCGTCATGAAAGTACCCAGCCCGCCGCCCTCAGGAAAACCAACTGGAAAATATTATCTTAAACCAATCAAAAAATTCCAAGGAAAAAAAGAGAAAGATTTATTTTACAAACAGCAACAGCTTCGTAGTCAACAACCATTGCTAGACAAAAGAGAGGCAGCACAGTGAGTACATATAGCATTACCTAATTTATTATTTATTTGCATAACATGTATATGTATGCAATGCCTGTATGTAAAAAAATAAGGTAAATTATATTGAATTTGAATTGCTCAATTGATTGATCTTCAATTTTTTATTTTACTTTAGGATAATATTGATATTTATCATATGCTTTGGGCAATAGAAAAAAAAGTTATGAAAGATGGCAGTACATGCCACCTACATATATGAACTATCATACTGCCATTTTTATTGCAGCCTATAACTTATGGATATGATGCAAAAAAGTCACCAAGTAAGAGACTCAGAATTAATAATCAAAACTGAGATATTTTCTTTGGTCTTTATATTTGTACATCTTTAAATTTTAGGTTCCGCAATACCTTCTTCCATACATTATGCCTCGACATGCTGCAGGAAGGATTCCACCAAGCGTTCTCCGAGCTCTATGCATTGGCCAAAGAACAAAGGCAAGAGAGAGAGGCTGCAGGTCCAGAGTCGAGCCTGTGGAACAAACCACTTTTAGAAGACTCCCATGAGAAACTTGAGATGATCAAAACATTACTTTCAAATTCTGAACAGGCTTTACGTGCAGGTATGGTAGCTTGCTAAAGTTGTTCATTGGCTTTTAAGAGAAAGCCCATGGACTTGCTCTTGAATGGTGTGCACATGTTAACATTGAGTCGTTAATGTAATGAATGTTAAAATGTTTTTATCCTAAAATTAATCTTCATTCTTCTCTGACAACATTGAAAGAAAGTGGCATTTTTTAAAATTAAACAAATTTTAAAAAAAAGTACAGTATCAGTAAATGTGAGATATGCTCTTCAGAAGGTATATCAACCAAAAAAGTTTTCCTTAGTGCCTCTTAGGAATTATAAATAGTGTATGCTGATATGACACATTATACAAATATTTACAAACAAATTATATCATTGAAATAAAAATTGCTCTTTGATATTAAATATTAAATAAAACCAAAATTCTACTTTAGGTGATAGAGGGGCAGAATATGATGCACGATTCAAATTGGCCAGGTTTTTCCAAAGCTTTAGTGGCGACAAACAACTTAGTGACCATTTCTTCAGTTCATGCCTTGCCACTAGTAAAGCCGTCGAGGGGGATAGTGGTCGTATGTTAGCAGAAGGGCACTGCAATGTTGGTTTGGCTCTGGAAGAAAGTGGTATGATTTTAATTTTGTTAAGCCTCAGTCACATTTGCTCTATGACGGCCATTGCTTCACAAAAGCAATTATAGAAAATCTACATCAAACTGGTTATCTCTTATCATATGCTCAAGGAGGATTGGCTCCCAGAGTGCACCACCGATATTCTGTCCCATATATGGTAGCGTGACCTTTGACCTTGTTGACACGTGACAGGTTTCCGCTTGTTTTCTTTAGCACGGAAGCCATTTTGAAACCTGTGAGGTCAAAGGTCACCGCTACCATATATGGGACAGAATATCGGTGGTGCATTCTGGGAGCCAATCCTCCTTGTCATATGCTGCATATTTCTCTTGATTTTGCGAAGCTACATTTTGCATAATGTACGATTGCCCAAAAATGTGACTGAGGCATTAGGGATGCATCATAAAAATGATGAATTAGAATAGATGGCTGTAGTGTTTTGGTTGGGACAGAAAGTAATATGATTGGATAGATTGCTAGATATGCCAATTCGTGGTAAACAGAAGTCACTGAATATATAGTCACTTACCAGTATGCAAATGTTTTTTCTCTTCTTTACATCTTTTGATATATAATTGTATGATTGTGTTACTAAATTGTAAAAACTACATTGAGGTGCACATAAATGCCACTGGCGATTGGGTCCCTTATGTATGATTTCTACTTATAAATGATTATGGCAATAAAATCTATTGATAAAAAAACTGTTAATTAAGATGTATTATTTGTTATTGAGTAAATAATGTGTAATAATACATGTAATATTTTATTTTCAGAAAACATATTCGATGCGTGTGACAACTTCGAAGCATTTTATAAAATAGTATCAGAACACAAAGACTGGATAAATGCTGAAAATGAAACACTATATGCAAACTCATGCAAACATTTGACAAGGATATACTTCAAAATTGGTGAAAAAATAGAAAAAGATGACCAGGAATCAAGTCTGAGTTATTTAATCAAAGCGTATAATATGGCCAAGGAGAGTACAGATAAACCACTGGAGGGAGTGGCAAGTTATAAATTAGGTGTGGCTTATAATAAAAATGGAGATGCTGAGACAGCCTTGTTGGTAAGTGTATAGATGAGTCTCAAATGGATACTGTTGATGTCATCTTTAGTTTTGCCTGGATTCAGTTTTTCTTTCATTAATCAATTCATTAACCAAGATCTAAGTAGCTTTTGAGCGTTCTGGGTAAATAAGTACATTGTAGTCATCTTGAATTTTTCTATTGAAAGTTTACGGTATCTAGTATCTGTCACTGTTTGTTTTGTAACCTTTCAATGACATTTTAAGAACAGGTCTCAAATTATCAAGAAATGGGTCTGGGAAGAGATTTACTAATTGAATTGTACCTCTTTATCAGTTTCCAGATCTACCACTGATAATTCTGAAATCTTACTGTAATGATTAACCCTCTATTGAGGGGAGGAAGATCCCAGAGTTCAAAGATGACCATATATTCAATGGAAAGTACTAGACATAAAAGCTAGCGAAATCAAAATGGTGGATCAAAAATGTTGTAAAAATGCTTTGAAGCATATACCTGTATTGTTAATAACTGGCATATTTACTAAGACTATACAATTTTGTTATTTCACGTCAAGATATAAGGATTATGTTTACATCAATGAAACATCACATCGACATGTGGTTCTCTGAATTCTGGGGTTTCCCTCCTCTTCCCTTTATTTCAATCATAAATGCATTCCTGTGGCATAGGCTACTCCCCAATATCCTGTGGTAAAGACTACTGCCCATGTATAATCATAATAGCATTCCTGTTAAATAAGCTATTTCCCATGTAAAATCAAATAGCATTCCTGTTACATAGGCTATTTCCTGTGTAAAATCAAATAGCATTCCTGTTACATAGGCTATTTCCCATGCATTTCAGTACCTGAATGGCTACTTAGAGATCTGCAAGGCTCATGATGATGAGGAGGGCATTGGAAAGGCATGTGAAGCTATCGCGAAAGCTTATGAAAAGTAAGTTTTTCTCATTTATTTGGTGTTATATAGATCAATCAATTGGTTTAACTGGATATAATCTTGTTTATCCAGTCTGAACCTCATCAAACCTACTTCAGTAAGACATAAAGTTTTTACGTCACGTCACAACAGCTTAAATTTAAAACTACATTGTATCTTCAAACCATGTATGGTTAACTGAGTTCTGATTGGTCAAAATTGACAAGCATTCGGAACTAAGCTTGATAATTCTTCATTTATATTTGATGCTTAACCTCATTTCTTAAAATTTGAATTATCCAAAGTATTTTTTATTCCAGCCAAGGGAACATTGAAGAGAGTATAAGATACCTAGAGCAGTTTGTAACGGTAGCTGAGCGTAGTAAACAAGACCAGGCTTACAGTAGGGCATGTAGCGATCTGGGGGCTGTCTACAATTCTTTGGTATGGCATTTTAGCTAATATGAATATATTATATATATTATATATAAGTATATGTATAAAGTAAAAACAAAATCAGAAACTAGCAAATATTCACTGGATTTTGATCTTGGGGCTGTCTACAATTCTTTGGTATGGCATTTTAGCTAATATGAATATATTATATATTATATTATATTATATTGTATTACATACCCAGCGAAGCATTTGTATTGAAGTCAATGGAGCTGAAGGTCGGCTATATATTCCTGTATAGCCGCCAAACCTTTTACCATGACAATCTTATGACGTCATCGGGACGTCATGTTTCATTTCTTCCTAATTTCACTCGCACACAGACACGTGGCGTCATTGATATGACGTAGCCATGATATAAAAGTATGTAATACAACAGTTATGTCCGTATCATTGAGTATTACATACCTAGCGAAGCATTTGTATGGAAGTCAATGGGAAAGTTAGCGAGCTATATCCACCGATATTGCCCGATTACCCCGATATAGCCCGCTTACCTCGTTTTGATATTAGATTTCTTTAATAACCATGATAATATCATGACGTCACGTCATTGATACAGAGTAACCATGGGAACAAAGGCATGTAATACATCAGTTATGTCACTATGACGTGAAATATGCCTTCGTTCTTGCCCAAATATAGAGCCTCCCAAGGTCGGCCTATATTGGGAGAACTCAGGCATATTTCACGTCATAGTGACATAACCTCTAAATATATGCCTTCGGTCTGTCGTAATATAACCCTCGCAAGCTCGGGCTATATTGGTGACAGACCTCAGGCATATATTCAATGATAGGGACATAACTGCTAAATATTATATTATATTATATTATATATAAGTATATGTATAAAGTAAAAACAAAATCAGAAACTAGCAAATATTCACTGGATTTCGATCTTGGGGCTGTCTTCAATTCTTTGATACGGCATTTTAGCTAATATGAATATATTATATATTATATATAAGTATATGTATAAAGTAAAAACAAAATCAGAAACTAGCAAATATTCACTGGATTTCTTTATTTCATGTTAGTGTAAAATCCAGTAGAAAAGTTTATCCAAACAGGAGATGAAGGATGTTTTAGGGTACCTATTTACTGCAAGAAATGCCCGAAGAAATGATATACTAAGTAGAAGTATAGTTATAGTTCAAAACATTGTAATGTAGGTCAATCTGTGAATAAGACAGTATGCAATATTTCTGACATTTTCATTTTAGGGTCGTTATGACGAAGCCACAGACTACTTTAGTAAATCGTACAATCTCTCTAGAGCGCTCAACGACGCATCATCCATTAGTATGTCTCGTGTGTTTTTTGGTGTCACCGCCGCACATAGGATGATAGGTGGCGTTGTGAACCATATAAATGTCGCAAATCGGCCAACACTTGAACGACTGACTGAATGGAAGAATAATCGTGGCGATGAATTTAACAAACCAATTCCAGGTATGAAGGAGATAATAAATAATTTATTTTTCAAAATGTTGTTATTAGTGATTTTTGCAACCTTTGAGGGCATTTACATAAAATATTGTAGATTAAGAGCACCTGCATTTGTTTGGACATACGTTCAAAACAAAGGTTTAAAAACTAATAATTCACCATTTATTTCATCAGATACTCTTCCATTTATTTTTTAGTTCTTTTAAAATCCACATTTTTCAAACAAACAAAGAATTTATTTATTTACACATTAAATCGATTGTTTGATTGTTTGAAAAAATTTGGATTGAATTAGAATTAGAAAAAAATTAAGTTATATAATAAATCATTCTGCATTATTCTATTTTCTGCATAATTTTTGTCATGCATGGTGAATTTAATTCATGCATTTGCAATTAATTTTTTGTAAACATTATACATGATAAAAATTATGGAGAATTATAACATTCTATATTTTTATTTTTTATTTATTTATTTCTGTATTTGAAATATTTAATGGATTTTACATTTAATAAATATATACTCGTATGTCATCCCATAGTTAAAGAAATATATAAAACATATGAATTTATTTTGTTATTTTCACAGTTCTTAAAAATGAACACTCATTTTATTACATATGAATTTATTTTGTTATTTTCACAGTCCTTAAAAATAATACTCACTTTAATAGAAAAATCGCCATTTTTCAATAACATTTTTAGTTTTTGGGATCATTATTCTCAAAAATTGAAGTCATCTCGAAGCATAAATGTTTCATTATAAATGTTTAGATTAAGATGCAAGATTTTGATATTGCGACTCAAAAAGTGATCAAACGTTCCTGATGTAAGTTCTTCCCCAATATTCAAGAAACGGAAACCAAGATTTCTGAAACTTTCTGATTAAACATTTTTGTCCAAAAATTTGGAGATTGTTGGTATTCACCCTGTGACCTGAATGTTATCATAAAAAAAGTTCATCAGTGAGGTACAAATGAATTGCATTTTGATGCTGATGATTAAGATCTTTTTATTTTATAAATAACTGCCATAATTAAATTAAACCCCGTCAAATACAATCATAGATCAATGAATATGTCAATAAAATATGCATAAATATTCAGGATATCCTAGGAGTCACTCATCACAAAATATCAAAAAGCCAAAAGCAAAAGGTAATTGAGGTGCACAGTTGTGAATTGATTTGAATTCGCTAGATACAAATCAAATGCTTATTAACTTATTAAGATCTGATAGCTGACTACCTTAGTACAGTCCCCTTAAAAAGATTTGCAACTTGAAGTCAGCCTTTGGATATTTGTTAAAGCATGTTTATGTTTGTTGATATTAACAAATTCTGTGTTTCTTGAATTCGAAATTATTGCAACTGAGGAACAGAATTATTAGATTCAAACATAAACAAACTTTAACACATGATCCAATGGAGAATTCAAGTTGCCAAACTTATGGAGGGGGGGGGGTGTAGCCCAATTTTTTCTGCTTTAAGCTTGTTTGTGATTAAATCACCGAATGATATTGCTTGAATGTTTTTATTTTTATAGTTATACATGCAGTAAATGCAATACTAATATCATGTTATTGTTGAATTGATTAAATTGAATTGAATTGAATGAAGTATGTGGCTACATCCATGCTTCAAGCGCATTTCATTTTTGAAGTTTAAAGCTAAATAGATGATGATTTTTGAATTCTATACTGGCTAGCCCTGGTGTAAACCATCCAGTTTCCACCCCTCTGTTATCTTTATGAGAATGAGTAGAACTATGACATCATCCAATTTAGGACGAAAACATGGTCGCAAAATTAACCAGGCATTGTCATTTAAAAAACATATTTTCATGTACTTTGCTAAGTATAAATAATGGTTTGACATGTTTTGTCAATGAACAGTTTTGGCTTATGCTCTGTTACAGTTTATGCTATTTTTTGATTTAAGCTGTTTCAGGTTGATACTGTTTTTCTAGCTTTTGCTTTATTGTTGGTCATTTGTTTTACCATGGGCATTCTATTGAAAGCCCATGCTCTTACCACTCCTTGTTTTGCTTTGTGTGTGTATTTTGTCATATTGAAATTTGATATACAGATAAACATTTTTTAGGAATATACAATTCTGTAAGAGGGTAATTTGCTTGATATAGCAAATTGTATCATATTCATAAGGTAATTTATGTTGTAGGACAATTTCTGTTATAGGACACGTTTTATTTTAGGGCAATATTTGCTTTAGGGTAATTTCTTTTTAAGTGCAATTTCTATCACATGTGCATCTTTATTAAAGATCAATGATAGAGCATGTATACTTAGAGGTTATGTCACTATTACGTGAAATATGTCTGAGTTCTCCAAATATAGGCTGACCTTGGAAGGTTCCATATTTTGGCAAGAACAAAGGCATATTTCACGTCACAGTGGCATAACTTATGTGTTCCATACCTTTATTCCCATGGCTACTTTGTATCAATGATGTCACACATCTTTGTGCGAGTAGAATTTGAAAGATAACATCATGATATTGTCATGGTTATTTAAGAATGTAGTATCAAAATTAGGTAAGGGCCCTAAAGGGGCCTATATCAGGGAAATTGGGCAATGTCGGTGGACATTGACTTCCATACAAATGCTTTGCTATGTATGTAATACTATCACTATCAGTTATCACACGTTTCAGCATGTGATACAGGAAATATTTCATGAAAGGTAACATTGTATCATCCACGAAAGCGAAGCTTGAGTGGTGATACATTCTTACCCGAGTGGAATATTTCCTGTTCCTGTATCACATAAGCGTGTGATGACGATTTTATCACATGTCTTGGAATGTTGAATTGAAGCAATTTGATTTGGTCATTGTGATTGTGTTCAGTACTCTGTACTCCCGGTAACTATTATATATTTTGTGTCTTGAAAGTTTGTTTTGGAATAATATGATGTCATACTGTTGTATTCGTACTTGTTAGTGAAATAATATGATGTCATACTGTTTTCTTTAGCTACGAAGTGATATCACCAGTGATGTCATATCTTTACCATTGAATTCGTAGTAATACAGCCTACCATATCACATGAAAATCAGTCATGTGTCATGTGATACAGAATATTCGTTGTCACAATTGACCAATCAAAATGCCTAGAAACTCCCTAACCATGTGATAAATACATGTATTAAATTATGACCTTTGATATTGCAGTTGAGGAAGAACCTGCTATGGCTAAAGTAGTTGAAGAGGTCATGGATGAACAAACAGCAGAAGCTGATGAGGAAAACAAAAACAATAGTAATGATGCTGAAGATGATGAGAAACAACAAGATGAAGAAGTGAAAGAAGAACATGAAAAGACAGATGAATAAAATAATACAGAGACCAGAATATATGTAAACTCATCATGTGGATTTTGAATTTGCCAATGGAAATTAATGTTTGGTGTTCAAATGATTTGTTATATGTATAATTATGTGATGTAATTAAACTGATATTATAAACTTCTCATTTGGTTGACCAAATATTCAAATATTTCTCATTTGCTTGGCCAAGTGTTGGAATTTTACCAATTTACTTGGCCAAATGTTCAATATCTCATATAAAGCTTGCATTGTATTCCTGTAATGTAGATTCCATCCATTCGGTAGATTAATGGGACTAGATTATAAATTTTTTCCTTGAGTTTAGATTTTAAAACTCATCATAATGTGAGACCGAGGAGCCTTGGCAACTTATAATAGCTTCAGTAAACAAGTTATATTCTCATTGAGACATGTCAAACTGGTAAATATCAGGATTTTTTATAATTGCTTGACCAGTGCTTAATAACTTCAATTATGGGCATTTTAGTCTCATGATTCTTGAACCAATTAAAGTCGCTTGATCAGCTGACCTTGATCTCATCTTGATCTGATCTTGCCTGATTTGATTTTGACCCACATCTATCCCAAATGGCCCAATTCTGCTGAATATTTCAACATGACTAGAGCCACAGTGATTAGATTACATGTACTTAGCTAGCCTTAGCAATATGTATAATAATAGTTAATCAACCACATTTTCTATATTAGTTATCTTTTGATATTGTAATTTGCCAAAATTATCGCCAAATATATTTTTTATGACAATATTAAAACACTGGATCTATAATACAGCCTTTTCACATAGAGATTTTATTCTTCAAAAAAACCTTAAAAACTTTTAAAATATAAAAGTGCATTGTAAATCCTTTATTGAACAGCTACCTACAGTGAACATTTTGGAGCTTAAAAGGTATTCATTGTACACAGGTTTTCGTAGTCTGGCATCAAGCCCTTGTGTATCCCCTCTGCTAAAATCACTCTGCACCTTTGAACGAAAATGAATCACTGGGGGGGGGGGGGGGCAAAGGTTTTATGTAAGACTCGAGGTTCACTGTACTGTTTCTATCTACCTCTTAGATGGTTAGAGACCAGGCTGGACATTAACATTGAATTAATAGACTGTAATGCAAACCCAGAAACAATTGGATCGATAAATGGACAGTAGATGGTCTGTAAAAATATGTACATAAACAATATTGCTGTTGTAAATATAAATATAAATAAAAAGTATAATATTGTGATACTGAATGTGATATCTTGTATCTATTATACAATAAGATGGGTGGAGCCATGCAGGAAATTGCATTGCCAAAATTTCAGTAGCGTTATCATGTTAATGTTTTGTCTCAACTAACCCAGCGAGTTTGCCTCGCCTATTTTAAGACTATGGTTACCCCACCCTGTATTGCTAAAGGAATAGATATTATTATAAGGTAGCCTGGAACAAAATATTTCCTATCCCACACCTTCAACAAGTTTAGAAAATTAAATGGTTTTCTCTGTGAAAGATTTAACTTTCGTACTTAATTAATTATTTTTACTTTATAAAATGTATATTTCTGTTACTAGTGTTTTTGACATTCGTTTTTTAACCGGTGAAATCTAACTTATTAGAAATGACGCCATCCAATGGTATATAATATCCAGAAATAGTTCTGCTGAGATTGTGAATGTAGGCTAAATGAAATACTAAAATTTGCTTATATTCATTTTTATTTTATTTTTATGGTATTTTTTTGACGGCGGTTGGCGTCTTTAACAAATACCCAGGAACAAATGGTGGTGACATTTTGCACGTTAATGTCCTGTTTATATTTATCCTCACCCTGTGCTGATCATGATGTCCTCTCAAATACGTGTGTACAGTTATATCGGCAGATATCATATTGCATCAGATAGAAACACACGGTGGGCCTGGGACGATGGGATGGCAATTCGTTGGACATGTCCAATCTTAACACATTTTCTATACTATTTTCTGGCAGTGAAATGCCATTTGCTTTGATCACTCCCTGCAGCACACGCCTCTCACCACCCCAGGGAATTATAGCCTGGTCCAAATCGCTGTCTTTTTCATCTATATTTTCTTTACTTTTATATCACCGTAGACCCAAATGTTCACTAGAGAGAGGTGTTCACTGGGACAGGTTTTTCTGTAGTTGCGTTGAGTATAATCGATAATTGAAGATCAAAATAAGGAAAATGCCGTCTTAGGCTGTTAGGTAAGGCTAAGTGAATAACTGATAAACATCATGATAAACCATGACATCTCATTTCTTCTCAGCTCTGAGATCATGTTTCAGGTGAAACAGAAAGATGCGATGAGTACATCCTACATCCTACATCCTACATCCTCTGTGATATTATTCGACATACCGATGCTATATTTTTCTATTGACTATCTTTGTATATTTATATGGTGTCTCGTAAGCCGATGTCGGCTGTTGGGTTTTTTAATACATGTATTTTACTTGTAATATTTTAGTAAACCTGTGACACAGAAATAAACTATTATCACGGGGTACCATCGAATAATTTTGGCAACGTAACGGAGAACGACATTTTACTAAGAAATGGCAATAATTTAGCACAATATATTTTTTAACTAGAGTTCTATTTTGATTTTGACAAAAGTAAGTATTCCATGCAATAACTATTTCATTCATGAGTTTGTAGGAATTCTGTTGGAACCCAGTTCTAATCAAGTACGAAGTTATTGAAATCGGCGCAGACGGACTTTACTCCAAAAGATGGTTTTTCGATTATAACTTTTCACAACATTTAAGTATAGACTTTTGAAAAAAGTACAGAATGGTCCTTATACTTTTGAATAATTCTGTTATTTCTGATTCACACGACTCTGATTTGTTTAATTAAAAAAAAGTTTTAAAAATATTACTTAGGAACGTAACCGGAGCTGGGAACGTAACCGGAGCAGATCAGTTGAATTATTTAATCAAAAAATTAAAATATATGATTTAAAGCACATATACTAATTTAAAAACATACGGGATTGTTCGAATGCGTATTTATTACATTTTATTTAAAGAAAAAAATGTATCCATTGTGAAAAATTAAATTTGGTATTTACCATGCATAAGTGCACTTACCTTAGAAAGGCTATCAAACATGGAGAATGAAGTGATTAAATGTAGTAAGCAAATAATTCCATTTGATTTCACCCATGGTATTTTTTCAGCGAACTATTAGAACCCACTCTGTTATACTAATTTCGTATATATATACTGTTTATACATACATGTATTATACTTCTAAGACAACTTCTCTTTTTCAGGGGAAATAAAAGCATTTAAATGCTAGATTATTAAAAAAGTTAGGATACAACGAACTGTATATAGCGTAGGTGTGTTAAGTACTTGTCATGTGCTCAACCAAATCGAATCAACATATGCTTTCTGAAATTCTTCACCTAACCCCCCTCCATATAAACGTAAGATGTTTGAGTGAGTGCCCGTTTATTGTTTTATGCAAAACCAGTTGTTTTCCATCTTTGTTTCGATAAACCTAGGCGTGGGTCATTAAGCAAGTAAGGAAGTGAATGATTTTTTCTAGTTAAACCACAGAACATTGCTTTTCAGTCATTAATAGACAGTGTTCTATAATTCTATCACACCAAGTAAGCTGACATATGTTTGTAAATAATATATATGCTTTAAATCATATATTCTATTTTTTGAATTATATAATTCAACTGACCTGCTCCGGTTACGTTCCCAGCTCCGGTTACGTTCCTAAGTAATATTTTTAAAACTTTGTTTTTAATTAAACAAATCAGAGTCGTGTGAATCAGAAATATCAGAATTATTCAATAGTATAAGGACTATTCTGTACTTTTTTCAAAAGTCTATACTTAAATGTTGTAAAAAGTTATAATCGAAAAAACATCTTTCGGAGTAAAGTCCGTCTGCGCCGATTTCAATAACTTCGTACTTGATCAGAACTGGGTTCCAACAGAATTCCTACAAACTCATGAATGAAATAGTTATTGCATGGAATACTTACTTTTGTCAAAATCAAAACAGAATTCTAGTTAAAAAATATATTGTGCTAAATTATTGCCATTTCTTAGTAAAATGTCGTTCTCCGGTACGTTGCCAAAATTATTCGATGGTACCCCGTGATTATTAAACTTAAAAAAAAAACTTAAAAAGTATCAGAAAGTTACTATAGTACACAACAATCGTCACATCCACATCCGTGCACAGAAGAACGTACTCGCACCCACATTCGTGCATATAAACAGGAACAAACTCACGCATATTTTTACGGTGAATTTTTTATTTGAATGGTAAAATATAATGCAACACATTAATTGGGGAGGGCCTGGGCTTTTGGCGCCGTTATACACAATGAAATGTCTTGAAATACTAACAATAACCTACAATAAAAGTACAATACAAACAACTTTCGTAAATTATAAACAACGTTTTCTGAGTATGAATACTAAAAATAAAATGAAGTAGAATAAAAACAACAACATAAGATAATTTAGATCATCTTCATTTTAGACAACAACTTTTCATAAATTATTTTTTGAACAACACTATTAGTTGCTGGCGACATCTAAATGTGCCTGTGTACTCAAGCAGCTACTTAATTTGATTTATTAGCTTTAACATTTCTCATAAAATTGTTTCAAATTACCTTGGACTTGGAAATTTAATTTATTATCAAGATCTTTACAACGTTTCCTTCAAATGTTTTATTTTGTTACATTATTAAGTGACTTTCATGGTGATTTATATAGCGTAAACATCCGGATATTAAGAAATGGAAGGGAATATATTGAGAAAATGTGTCTCTTGATGTAAAGTCCTAAATAGATTCATCGGGCTAGTCTTACTAAATTAATATTTTATGTCTTAACCATACCTTTTTACTTTGTGTTTTGTGCAAATTAATGCTCGATGTCAATTTTACAAGTTCAAGCAGTTTGAGGAAGTCAAGAAAACATCCTGGAGGAAATGAAACAAAGTACAAAGGTATGACATAATGAAAATATAATTCCAATCCATTAAGTGAACATACATAATTTTGAGTTCAAAGATACCAGTTATCCTTCACCGTCGTTACGTTCTCATAGCAGTATATGCACACAGCTTATTATTCCAACGTATAAAGTTTGGTAGGGATGTAGTGAAGCCCTCCTCTTGTCAACCAGTCCGTCCGTCCTTCCGTTCGTTAGCATGGTACACGCACATGAGGGAAAATGAGTTAGTTGGGGCAGGAATTATGAAAAGTAAAGCGCTATGTCCGTTTCTTTTCATGTCACCACTGAGTGACTAATTAACCTATCACTACTTTGTACTGCTGATGGTCGTACCCGGGTGAGGCAAGGTAAAATGTATCAGTTCCAGATGATCCACCTGCGTGATAAGTCCATTTATATTGTTCAAAAGGATCCTTCGGATTGTAACACCCCAACGTGTTGCCGGATTCCGTATACGGGTTTAGATTCAGACCGCTATTGCCAGTAACCCGAACTTGGCCTTTTTGTGGTTCCACGGAGGGACATGAACCACTAACGTGTGCGCACGTAAGTGGGCAAACATTTGGAACGTAATATTGACACTTCGGGTAGTACGTCATCATTGTCGTGAAATCGTAAGAAAAACCAGCTTTAACTTTGAAAAAAATCGTCGGTTGGGATTTACAAATCGTCACTAAGTATTCTTGACGATCTGTCTTAGGAGACGCTAGGTAAAATGAATCTGTTCCAGACGACCCGCCTGCATGATAAGTCCATTTGTATTGCGTCGGATCTTTCGGATTGTAACAACCCGCCGTATTGCCAGATTCCGTAAACGGGTTGAGATTCAGACCGCTATTACTTGTAACCCGGACTTCGCCTTTTTGTGGTTCTACGGAGGGACACTTCCCACGTACGTTTGCGCAAGTGAGTGGGCAAACGTTTGGAATGTAATTTTGACACGTTGGGTAGTATGTCATTTTTGTAGTGAAATCGTAAGAAGAACCAGCGTCAACCCAGAACAAAATTTTGGGTCGGATGCACTCTGTTGAATAAAAAATCAAAATTAGGTTCACTTATGCTTAATTTTTTATCAATGGAGGCATTTAAAAACGATAAAATATAGCACATTACTAAGCGGTATACAATGCAAAACGTGGAATAAAATGAATATAATGAAAAAGATACAGATCAATAAAATAAGTTTAGTATGATGCAAACCAATAGAGAAATTTCGCCCAACGGGTTATTACTAAAACGAATACTAGTATGTCGCAACCATCCTTCTTCAAAGGACTTCATTTATGCTTAAATTCAGCCTTGTAAAATACCCTTGCAGCAAGGATGGTCGCAACCGCCCACAAGACAGCAATCTATTGCAAACGAAATGTCTCCGTCCCAAATGATTTTGTGATTCAATTGCAATAATTTGTTCTTCAGTTGACTTAATTTTCAAAGCTAGAAAACAAAATTCCAATGAACGAATACAAAGAACGGCGAGTAAGGCAAACCTTGCAATCAAAACTCATATAAAGCATGGTTAAGTAAAAAATGAAAAAAACCAAGTCTGATTTTTTAACCATGGCTTACTTACTTTTCCCCCTGCGTCCACCCCCGCGTCCACCTGCATCTATCTGCACGAGGCACATTGCTATGACACAACATACCAAGGCACATTGCAACTTCATTGTGACAAGCTACTAGTGCTAGATTTTGTAGTAATAATTATACCAACAAACTTTAGATAAAACTGGTTGCGTCAAAACTTCATTTTATAACCAGGGGCTCTCAGCTCTAAGCCAATCAGAATTACACATACGGTTCAGTGTTCTATGGGAGGGAAAGCTCTTTTATATCTATCTTTTAAAAGGGAGAGATTTCACTGAATGAGTTAAGTTCTACACCCTATACGAAGAGATCGCACTAATTTCGAATGGTAGTGGCAAATACGAGCCACGAAAACTAAAAACGAAAAAAGATTAGTACCATACTTTTTTAGTCGTTTTTCTATAGAAAACGGTTTCTATGCTGTTTTAGAATTATAGTATGCATGGAATGTGAATTCATTGCTTGTAGTCCCTGATCTGGACCCTCTGAAAAAAAGTTTTGTTGTCCGGTACTTTCCCACATAAAATGATTGTACCGTTTGAAAGAACAGACTTCCCTCTTAAAGAAAACACCTCTTCTATTGATGTAAACAGGGGCAAAAGGCACCAAAACGGGGTTAGACAAGGTGGCATTCTGAAGTCTCACTTTCTTGTCATCACGATTCCAGGTAAACCATCAGACGGATTTACTTCAAGTTTTCACACATGTTACATGGTAAGAAGTTCTAGAGCTGATTAACTTTGCGGCGGCCACCTTGCATTCTGGCGGCCATCTTGGAATTTTTTTCAGATAAATATTGTCATCGCGATTTCACAAAAACCACATAACAGATGTACTTCAAATGTTCACACATGTTACATGGTAAAAAGTCCTAGACCTCATTATTTTTGCGGTGGCCATCTTGCATTCTGGCAGCCATCTTGGAAGTTTTAAGATAAATCTTGTCATCACGATTTCAGGAAATCCAAACAGATTTACTTCAAATTTCGAAGTTCTAGAGCTGATTAACTTTCCAGTGGCCATCTTGCATTCTGGCATTCCAGAAAAACCTTGTCATCACGATTCCAGGAAAACAACCTAACAGATTAACTTCAAATTTTCACACATGTTACATGGTATGAAGTTCTAGAGCTGATTAACTTTCCAGTGGCCATCTTGCATTCTGGCATTCCAGAAAAACCACTTCACAGTTTTACTTCAAATTTTCACACATGTTACATGCGTCTGAAAGCACTCTGCAGTTAAAGCAACTTAAAAAGTCTAAAAAGAAATTCCCAGTTAATCCCTGGTTCAATGATGAGTGCAAAAGATTAAAACAACAATTACGGAATGCAATTAAGGAAAATTATTCAGACTTAGAAATTTCAATTATTCAGAAAAAATATAATCAAACAAAGCAAAGAGAAAAACGAGCATATCAAACTGACTTATTGAAATCATTATTAAACTTTAAATCTCATAATCCCACAGAATTTTGGAAAATGGTACATTCTATCCCTGGTAAAAATGAAAGCAGAGATATACCAATTTCAACCTCTGTACTTTTTGATACTTTTAAAAACCTTGGTAAAGCACCTAAATATGACTTTTTTGATTATGAAGCTTTAGAGAAAATGCAAATCTTTATATTGGAATGTAACATGCATAATTCATATACAGATTCATTACAAATTAGTGATCATTTACTTAACAATGTCATACATGAAAAAGAGGTTCTAAATGCCTTAAATAGAATAAATGCTAATAAATCGCCAGGTATTGATGGTTTACCATCTAATATTATCAAAAATTGTAAAGCTCTATCATTGGATTTTACTGCACTTTTTAATTTTATTTTTGATAAAGGAGATTACCCTGAAGAATGGAGTATCGGTATGCTCTCCACTCTTTACAAACAAGGATCACGTTTCAATCCAGATAATTACAGAGGAATTAATGTACTTGCTTGTTTAGGAAATGTTTTTGATACAATCATTCAAACAAGATTAGTGTTCAACGCAGAAATGCTCAATATTCAAGACCCGTTACAAGGTGCTTACAAATCTGGTCACCGTACAACAGATAATTTGTTCATTTTAAATACTATTATTTCACATTTTAAGAGGCGGAAAAAGCCTCTATATTGTATAATGGTAGATTTTAGGAAAGCGTTTGATTATGTCAACAGGACAGCACTTCTTTATAAATTATGTAAATCAGGGATACATCCAAGTTCAAAAATGTTTAAAATTATTGATAGCATGTATAAAAAATCGAAATCATGTCTCAAACTTAAAGATGGCATTACTCAAATGTACAATACTGGAATTGGAGTTATGCAGGGCTCTGTTCTCAGTACATATCTTTTCAACCATTTTTTAGATGACTTGAAAGATTTTCTTCCCTCAGAACATGGTATCGAGTTTGAAGGTGTTTCTTTAAACCATCTACTTTGGGCTGATGACTTAGTATTAATGGCTAGCTCTAAATCTGGGGCGCAATCTATGCTAGACTCTCTCTTTGATTTTTGCAGAAACTATCATCTTGTTGTCAACACAGTTAAAACTAAGGCTATTATTTTTAACTCTAAATCAGATGAAACTTTTAAATTCAATGATGAAGTGATTGCATGTGTAGAAGACTACAAATACCTAGGGTGTATCTTCAACAGTAAAAATAATTTTGATAAACAAATAAGCTATCTTAAAGAACAATCTAGAAAAGCTTTATTCAAAATAAAGCAACAATATCACAAGTTTAATGACATTCCCATATCCGTTGCCTTACATTTATTTGATTCACTTGTCCAACCAATTTTGATGTATGGTTCAGAAATATGGTCAAGTAAAAAACATATCAAGTCACTTGAAACTATTCACCTGTCCTTTTTAAAAAGCATCCTTGGTGTGAAAACATCAACTGCAACCCTAGCAGTCTATGGAGAGCTGGGTCGTTTTCCACTTAGTTTGTGCTTTGATATTCATCTTATTAAATATTGGATACGGCTTATACAACTTTGTCCAGATAACCTCCTTTATAAAGCATATCTATATGATTATGAAATGTACAGTTTAGGATTTAAAAATACTTGGTCAAGTAAGGTTCACAATATTTTAAAAGATTGTAATCTCCAAAGCACTTGGAATGAACAAGTTGTTGAGGATGACTATGTATTTAAAAAGAACCTAACTAAAATATTATACCAAAATTATAAGGAGAAATGGAAGTGTGATTTACAATTATACCCAGTTTTAAGAACATACATTAAATTCAAAACAACTTTTGAAAGAGAACAATATTTAAGCCTTCAAAACAAAAATCACAGGCAATCAATTTCACAACTGAGATTAAGTTCACATAAATTACAAATAGAACTGGGTAGACATGTAAAACCACGGCCAAAACCTGAATATGAAAGATTATGTAACTTTTGTGGGGAAATAGAAAATGAGGTTCATTTCATGATTAAATGCCATTTACATAGAGAAAATAGAAAAATATTGTTTGACAACATCACTAGCAAAATTAATGTTGATCAACATGATCCTGAAAATACATTCATTATGTTAATATCTTCAAAAGATAAATATGTGCAAAAGCAAGTTGGAAGTTTTATTACAAAATCATTCAAAAACTTAAACTTGCCTGGAGATTAACATTTTGGATGCATCACACCTAAAGTATATTATAACATATATGTAAATAACAAGTTTTTTGTATAAATTGTATATATTAGTGTAGTGTAGTGTAGTTTTGTGAAATTTCATTTTGTAATGACTAATATGTCAGGTCATGACATCTAAAGAGTCAATAAAAGATATATATATATGAAGTTCTAGAGCTGACTAACTTTTCGGTGGCCATGTTGCATTCCATCGGCCATCTTGGAAGTTTTTAGATAAATCTTGTCATCACGATTCCATGAAAACCACGTAACAGTTTTACTTCAAATTTTCACACATCGTTACATGGTAAGAAGTTATAGAGCTGATTAACTTTCCGATAGCCATATTGAATTCTGGCGGCCATCTTGGAAGTTTGTAGATAAATATAAAATACAGTCAAAGCATTTACCACCAACAAACACGGTGTATAACCCAAACGCTCCTACATGCACGACGGAGCGTTTCATTACTGAAATTAAACAAAGAAACGCTCCGGAGTAGGAAAACTGTCTGGCGGGAATGATGAGCCGTCTGACAATTTTACCCCAGTAATGGGAATAAGAGGTATGAGTTACATATTTCGAGTATACCATTCGATGGGTGTGATATTTATGTTGTACGTGGCTGGCTGTTGACGTTTGAAGCAATTAGGAAGAGCTGTACGAAGCAGTATAGTTATCAAAATTCAAAAACGTATTTGTCATTCTACCGGTCAAAACCCCTTTTGTCGATACATGTGATTAGTTGAGCCAAGATTAGAGCACCAACGTATATTTTAGTGAAATTCC